CCATGAGGCTGATGTGGCCCCTGGTGAAAATGAGTTTGACACCCCTCATAGCATGTAAAATCTAAAGCCTTGAATGAAGTTTGGGGTGAATGGCTTGGTTTAATGGAGACTTCACCACACAGTGTTTGATTAGAGATTAATTTAGAGGGGATGTGAAAGACAGATTTCCCAAAAGTTCCAGCTGAGAAAATGCCCTTCATGGGTAGCAGGTCTGAGGGGGAGCTGTGAGTTTCCCCAGTGCAGTCCAGTCTCAAGCTTTAAAGCCATGTGGCATCTGGGGTCTTTTCTTTGGGGAAATAGGACTGTCACCCATTGGGAAGGACTATACACTGTAACATCTATAACCCTTTTATGTAGCCCAGTCTATAGCTCACTGTCATTTTGGTGTAAATTAACCCAGAGTTTTTATTCTGGGAAATGCTAATGGAGACCTCTGGAAATGGAATGTGCTAGTTATATGCTACATAAGGACTAACCTCATACATGAGGGTAGTATACCATATAGCCTAGGTGTGTAGTAGGCTGTGCCACCTATGTTTGTGTTAAATATGCTTTGTGATGTTCGCACAGTGACGAAATTGCCTAGTGATGCATTTCTCAGAACTATCCTGGAGGCAAAATCAGCATGATGGTGTTTCAATTCCACTGTCTAGGAGAGCTTCAGGAAAGGACATTGCATGAAACAACCACAAGATGGCAGCACTTACACTCATTTCTCAAATGAGAAACCCCGTTAACGTCGAAAGGCTTCTAGCAATTTAAATGTGGAAAGAAACCCTGCAGAAGTCTTTGGTAAAGAGTTGCCCACATACGCAACATTTCTTTCCATAGGCACAGAAGAATGAAAAGCGTCTGAGGAAGACCAGCTATCCCAGAGTTTCTTGTCTTTTTGGGTGCAGCTTCTGAGGCCTAGAATTGATTAGAATTACAGGGTAAAAGTTTTGTTTAGTGAATGGTGTTTGTGTTCATAACCTGAGCCTGAAGATATTTCATCTTAGCCATAGCTGTGATAATATCTGTTATTTATTGATCAGTTGGCTTAATGCTTTGCACTTACTCTTACATGTGTCAGCTTGTTGAATCTTCGTAACAGAATTTGGGTTTATGTTGCCCATTTTCCAGGCATACTTTGGTGATGGAGATATCTGTACACACCTTCTGTGCCCCAGCCATGATCCTGGGTCTTTCTTTACATGTTTCAAATTAACACTTCATTGAGGAATAAATTATCTGGCATATTGCTGTGGAGAGCTGTCTTTAGCAGAAATCATCGGCATTGGAAAACAGGCCCAGCTCACAAAATTGGGTGGTGCTCATGCACCTGGTGACTTGGCTCTAGACAGTTGCATTTCAGTTTTGCTATCCTAGGAACCAAAAGGGGTAAAGAGCCCGCTTGCCCGAGTCTCAGATTTTGAAGGCATACATGGGGTTAGATATTTATTTGATAATCTCTTGTCTTCTGTCTGGAGGGTTTAGTCCATTAGTGTTTATTTTCATTTCTAATATGTTTTATTTTTATCCTCTTACATGCTATTTGGTGTGATTTTTTTGTCAGTGTTTCTTTGCCTCCTCCACCCTCTTTCTTGGAAGCACTATTAATCTAAGATCACTTGGAAATTTTCCAGTTGAGTTTTTCAGGGCACACAGTTGTTATAGGAATTTAGATTCTCTGTGTGAGAACTGCCTTGTGGATACAAATTCTCAAGTTCTCAAGGGAGCATTTTTTTCCTCCACTTCTGCGAGATCAAGAGAGAAAAATGTTCCTTTCTTCATGGCGGGCTTATTTCTTATTGCCCCTTACAGAGCCTGAGGAGCTTTGGTGCCCCATCTCTGGGTGGAGTTCTGCAGAGCATGCTGGGAATGACTTTACTGAACTGAGGATCACCAGTATAGTGAATGCTGTTGGTGCCCCTCCCAGGTCCCCTTAGTGGTTGGTACATTACTCCCCAGTTTCAGTGAGTGTGCAAGTCAAGGGCAGTCAGGTGTCCACCTTGATCTTCACCAAAAATGTGTTCCTACTTAACGTGATTCTGTGTGAAATGGAGCTCTCCATGGACCTTGAGCATGCAGATCATTAGAAATGAAAGGGTCTGTCTGCAAAAACAGCTTCTGACACATTTCATTGTCTTTCATTTCTCCCCAGTAAGGAATACACAGACAGACTAGGCTCATATCAGGCAGACACCAGTTACAATTCCCTGGATAAATTGTTAAGCAGACTTTCTAATTCAAATCACTCTCAGGTGATCTGAAGAAAGAGAAAAGGAGGAGGGAGAGAGTAAAGAAAGGGAAAAGGAAGCAAGGAAAGAAGGAAGGGGGTCTTCATGCCTGATGGTCCCTGGACAGGTCGAATAGTGAGGTTTTAAGATAGAATGAGCTGGAAGTCAGACCCAGGAATGCAGATTATAACAGTCTTTAGGTGGTTGTCTAGTAACACGTCCCAGCTGTAAAGCCACACCCCATCAACACCCTCCTTCCTTACCTGTGCTGCCGCCTTCTGCCCATCTCCCCAGCTCACCGGAGGTTCCCTGTTGCTCGAGGGTCCTGAGAGCCACCAGTATCTAGTCCTCTGACGGGTATCTTTCAAAAAAAGCTTTAGTTTTCTCCATAGAGTTCTTGTAACTTTGAATTAGGAAACCTCCTATTAATATATGTCCCAAAATTTTTGGTAACTGCTCCCTTCAAGAGACCCAGCTCATCATCTCCCCTTTGACTGTGGGCTAGACTTAATGACTCAGTGCTAATGAGTAGGAAGTGGTAGAATCGATGGGGTAACTTCTGAGCCTAGGTCACAGAAGGTGTTGAACTGTGGCTTCCCCCATGCTCGCTCTTGGATTACTTGCTCTGGGGAAAACCAGCTGCTATATTGTGAGGATACCCCATCAGCCCTGTGAAGAGGTCTGCGTGGGGAGTAATCAAAGTTTCCTGTTAATAGCCAGCAAGGACCCAAAGCCGTTTGCCAATGGCTACGTGTGCACGCCATCTTTTGAACAGATCTGCGGCCGCAGTCAAGTCTTCCAGTGGCTGCAGCCCTGCCTGAGGTCTTGACCACAGTATCCAGAACCGCAGCTGCTCAGTGAAGCCATTCCCAAATTATTTTTAAAATTTTATTTTTTAGTTACACTTGACATTCAATATTATTTTATATTAGTTTCAGATGTACAGCATAGTGGTTAGACAATTACATCATTTATGAAGGAATCCCCCCAGTAATTCAAGTATTCAACGGAAAACCTACATTGTTATTACAATATTATTGACTATCAGTCCCAAATTTTTGATCCACAGAAACGGTACAAGATAATAAATGTTTATTGTTTTGAGCTGTTAGATTTTGGGAACAATTTGTCGTGCAGCAGTAGACAGTGGAGATCCCCTCACATCACCACAGGGTAACTTGTTTTTGTTTATTGTGGTGTTTAGGGACGTCCAGAGCCACCAGAAGCCTGACGGTGATCGCTAGGAGGCTCATGACAAAGGCCTCTCCTGTTCCCTTCCCCAGGGACTGGCATGATCCCCAGACAGGATGACTTGAAGGCCAGGTCCAGTGTGGTGGCCATCGTTGGGTCTCCCAGTCCTGGTTGGTTGGGTTAGATCCTATGGATTCTTGTGTCAAGGTCTCAGGTAGGCTAGTTCGGAACCAGGGCATGCCCTTCAGAAGAAAGCATATGATGCACAAACATTTTTGGATTTGGGGATTGGGTCTTGCTTCCATGGAGATAAGCCATCAGCCATATCTTATTTAGCCTTGCCTGGAGATGCACTGGGGTGAAATAATTTATAATTTCTCCTGGTTATGTGTCCCCATTCCCACTCCACCCCGGGTTGTGTGTGAGGTTTTGGAGCTAGGTTGGGAAGGGAAGGAATTGGGAGGGAAGTTGGAAATTACTTTAATCGCATAGCTTATGAAATCTCTAAAATCTCCACCAGAACTTGGCTGACTTTCAGGGTGTGGGGGAGTCTCCTGAGAACCCCTAGGGACATGATTGGGTGGTGGCTGAGGGAAAGGACTTCTTTTAGAATTCTCAGACATGGAGTGAGGCGGTCCCTTCAGCCTGAAGCCACATGCCCACCTGGGCCTGGGAGCGCCAGGCAGAAGAAGAGGAGGGAACTGCCTGCAAGACACCTGGGCCATTGAAAAGTATTGGACCGTGATGGTGCTGCACCTTTGCCCTTGCTGGCAAGGCCTTCCCGCTGGGCCTTCTCCTGGCTCGTGCTGCCAGTGACAGTAGGTGGATCATCAGAGTCAGGGCTCGGCATCGTGCCCTTTGCGAGCCTCCTCAAAGAAATCATCTCCAGCTTCTCTTATACAATAAGCAGGCCATCAAATTCCTTTTAGAAATTGATGCATGAAAAATACTTTTCTGCCCTGCGCAGCCTTCAATCAGATAAGAAGGGCTGTGTTGCTCACTCCTCCGTGCCTTGCTGCTAGGAGGCTCCAGTGCATTTTGGGTGCTTACTGGCCTCAGTTCTCCTCAGACTGGGCTCTGGGTCATCATCTTCTCACCATGGCTGGACTTTGGTTCATTTGGTTCTATTTTCATTGGCTTCTTGTACCTTTTATTTTATCTGTCTTACCTGCTTCAGACAGAGGTGATGGTCAGGAATATGGACCCCTCTGCACCCTCCTCCCCATTGGTGGAACTGGCAGAAACCTATGTTCCAACACAGGTGCCATGAAGAAAGTCTAGGATGGTGGTCACAGCCCTGCCCTCTCCTCCCAAAGTCTGGAACCAAGGGAAACCACCATGAGCGCAAGATCCAGAGCTGCCTGAACCAAGATACTGGAAGGACAGTTACGGGGAGGCAGGAGGCTCAGCTCCCCTAAGGGCAGATGAAGCCATTGTCCTCCAGTTTTGGGAGCCAACAGGGGCCTGAGACTAAGTAATTCAAGGCCCCACATTTAGTTGGAGGAGAGAGAACACCAATTTGGGTGGGTGTGTGAGCTGGTGGGGGCTCAAGATTCAGCCCCAGGACAGGGCTCCTGTGAGTCTGAGCTGTCAGTGGGGAGGTTTCTGAGCACCCTTTTTAGAGGCTGACCTCCCAGGGTGAGTCTGAGGCCGGGCTTGGCCAGCATCTTGTCTGAGGCTGGGAGGCCGAGACACAGGGAGGTGGCCGGAGGCAGGCAGTGTGGTCCCACGGGCAGAACTGGAGGTCCCAGGGTCCTGTGCCTTCCTGTCCAGGGTCTGGCTTTGGCTGGCAGAGTGAGGTGTGGTGCCTGAAAAGAGAACCAACACAAGAATGAGGGCATGAGAGATTTTGCTACCGTTTTTTTGGTATTGAATTGGAACCCTCTGGAGCTGTCCTGTTCTCTGTAGATTTCAGTCCTCTTTGGTGATTTGAGAAAGGTCAGCTCAGCCCTCTGGGGGCACCTTGGCCTAGTCTTTGCATGAACAAATCTGCTGGAGGAATATGGTCTGCTGGCTGGAGAACTCGATTTTGAATGCCGACCCTGGGCTAGACTCTGACCTGGGTTTTCTTGAGTGTACAGTTGGGACAACAATAACAACAGCCTCACAGGTGTATGACAGAAGCGGTTGTATAAACTGGAATCAAATCCAGTTTCCAGCTCAGCCCTTGTGCTTGTTTCCTTCTTTTCCCTTAACTCCAAGTTAGGGGCAATTACTGGCTCATTCTTCACCAAACCCAGTTTCTGGGACACAAAAATGGACTAAATTTCCATGATGGATGGGGGTGGCCTGTGACCGAAGTCCAGGCTTTGATGTGCACCCCTTCCAGGTGTGTCTTCTAGGCTTCTCCCCTTGTACCGACTTGACACAGGCAGAGTCACAGGATGGGAGGAGCCAGGGTCTCTGCATCCGAACTTGGGAAGAAGGTGGCCATCAGGTGGAAACACCCAGTTTGGACGTGGTGCTGAGTGAGAAGTACACTTTTACTGTGTTTGAGCCATTAGTGTTTGCTACAGCAGCTGAGACCATTCCAGTGAATACTTCGAGAAAAGCAGCTGAGTGAGGGCGGCAGTGAGGCTATTGGAATTCCCAGACTAAAGGCTGACCGTATTCCTAAGCTCCAATGGATAGGTTCAGATAACATTTTCATTAAAAAAAAAAAAAAAAAAAAGTCAGGACCTGGCTGGTGTAGCTTCAGTGGATTGAGAGCAGGCCTGTAAATCAAAGGGTTGCTGGTTCAATTCCCAGTCAGGACACATGCCTGGGTTGTGGGCCAGGTTCCCAGTAGGGGGTGCTTGAGAGGCAACCACACAGTGATGTTTCCTCTTTCTCCTTCCCTTTGCCTCTCTAAAAATAAAATCTTTTTAAAAAATCAAATTCTGCAGCAGTGATTTAATCAATATAAAATTGAAAGGGCAAAAAATAAACAAAAACAAAATAAAACTCATAGGCAACAGTATGGTGATTACCAGAGGAAAATGGGGGTGAGGGGAGGCGAGAGAGGCCAGAGTGGGGATAAATGGCATTGGAAAGAGACATGATTTGGGGCGATGAACACGATACAATATACAGATGATGTGTTATGGTTATACACCTGAAACCTATGTACTTTTATTAACCAATGTAACCCAGATAAATTTAATAAAAATAAAACTTGAAGAAGGGCAAACTTTAAAACAGCAGCCAGTACTGAAGGGATGGTAAAGGAGTGGGTATGGTGGGCGGGCACGTTGATATTCTGGGGACTTGAATTGGCCACTGTCGAACCAGTGTCAAGTTTCTTGGTTTCTCATGGACAGCATTTTGTACACTTATTTTTTTCCTTCCATGCTTAAGTCCATCAGTGTACAAATACACATGCTTCATTTTTTGTTTTGTTGGTGATATTATGACATAGTATCACATTTATTCCATTTCTTAACTTATGTGGAAAAATTAGGGGATTTCAAGTATTTTCCCCAGCTTCACAAGAATGAGGTGCCAGCCAGGCACTCTTCTGCCTTTTGTCTCAGAACCATCCTGTGCGGCCATGATGGACTGGCAGCTGACCTTACTGACAAGGTCTGCAGCTTCGCAACGTCTTCCACTGATGCGGGAGGACTCACCAGGGGTGGGTTCTATGCTGACACAGACTTCTCGTCCTCCTTTTCCAACATCCACTCGTTTACTTGTTACAGGTCACTAATCAACAGTAGCTTGTTACCATTTCAGCACCAACACTGGGCACTAGAATACTCATGCCAGCTCTCATACCCACAGAACGTGTGCTAGGGAAGCACACGGGCGCCCTGTTTCTCCTGACCCGTTTCCATAGCCACTCCCTTTACTCGTGGGTCTGGAGAACGGAAAATAAACTGATGGAGGATTTTCATCTTGCAGGGAAACACCACTATGTGCCTATGTTCTTGTTTCTTTTTCTCATAGTCACGCCTGTGTGTTCTAAACGCATGAAATAAATTATCATTTCTGCACTAAAAATTATAACCCCTAAACTACCGATCATTTCTTGTGCCCCTTACTCAATTCTCACACCAAAGGCCAAAATCCTGGCATACTGGCCCTGCTTAATTTCACAACAGGGACAGTCTTTGGAAAACAGGATCACCTCAGAGATGGGCTTTTCCAGTTGGACCTCTCCTTGTTCCCAAGGTGGAAATGCTTTCTGATTAGTTCCTTCTGAAGCTCTGTGACACTTTCTTAGGACCGAATGTGGCCATTTCTCATCCTTTTATTGTAACTATTCTAGTGCTTTTCTTTTAAAGAAAATACAAACATAGCAGCTGCTGGATGCAAATCTCTCTATTCCTCCTGAAGAAATTGCTCAAAACAACCTAAACACGGACACTTTCCCTAGCCCCAGGCTGCTGCGACCCATGTCAGTGGGCACCGAGCATCTTGAAGGGGTGCAGAGGGACACCAGTAGTGCTCCCATGTTGGGTTAAGTCGCCGGACATCAAGAGGATATGACATGGGGACTAACAGATTCAGGAGAGAAGCTGAAGAAGACAAAAATCATTTCTGAAACAACTACATTGTGAGGAACACAGAGAGGAAAAGTCACCCCAGAAGATGTCACCGGAGCCTGGGAGGATAGAAATGAGTCTGACAACCCTGCAAGACAAGCGGTGCTACTTCCCCATTTCAGAGAGACACCTGCCCCTCCTACCAGCTCCCCTTCCTTGGCCAGCCTTTCTCTGCACCCGGAGTTCTGTGAAGCACTTTTCTTTAACACGTGCTCTGTCTCATTTTCACCACCGTATGAGGTCAGCACTGTAATTTATCCGTATTTTCACTGGCCCAACTTCACACGGCTAGTGATCGTCCAAATTCTGATTTCAATCCCAGATCTGTCTGGTTTCACAACACGCGCTCTTTACTCCTTTCCATGTGGCCTTGTAAAAAGTAACCAACCGTGAAACACATCTTACCTGCTTTGGTGAGTTGGAGCTGGGTGGCATTTTTGGAGCTGTCTTTAGCTGTGTCCGCTGAATCTCTGGCTGTGGCCCTGCCTTTGACAGATTTGTGGCTCTTCTCAACCTCACGGAGCTGCAGGGAAAAAAAAAAAACTCATGGTTGATCTTAGCCAGGGAAACGGGAGTTTGTGTCTCGGGGCCCAGGATGGTGAACTCCACGGGGCGAGGATTCAATCTTCAGTTCTTGGGAACCACCTTAAATTGCCTTATTCGTCCTCAATGACTGGCTGCGAGGTCAGCGGAGACTTGTGTTGCAGGAGCGGCAGGCCAGGGGAGGATGGAAGCCCTCCAATCCTCTAGTTCAGTGGTTTTCTTTATGGGGGTGGGGGGGCGGCAGGAGCCCAGTAAGATTAAGGAAGTGGGGATAGGGAGGAGAACCCCCTGTGAGGCAGATGAGATTAGTTCCACCGGAGGCAGAGGGGAATTGAGAACATGGCTTAGAGAGGGTGGGGGGTGGGGGCTGGGAGAGTGTACAAGGGAGGTCAGAGGTCAGCCAACGTTGAGAGACTCTGCCGGTGTGTGGAGGGAACTTAGAAAAACTCTTAGCCCATGAGTCACAGGCAGCATGTGGTTTTGACCACACCGTTTTCTTCATTATTTATAGTAGTATTTTTAATCTCTAGGAGTTACTGTGTGTACTGATTTTATTATGTACTAACCTTGGTTGCATCCACTGAAATTCACCTGTTCTTCAGCAACCTCTCAACATTTAAATAATTATTGTTATATATAAACAAACATCTGCAGAATATAAATGCATGTTGAATCTCACAGGCTTCTGCCTGTCACACAGATATTTTGGGCTTTGGTTTAGAAGAAAGCCATTTAGAGTATACAACTGGGTTCACAGAGCAAATCAGTAAAAAACAAAAACATGACTTCATTTTTACCTTCCAGAATGAAACGTGTGGCAGAAGGAAACTTGGGACAGACTCACCGCTTGGATTTTCTTCCTTAGCTGGGTGTTAGCTCGGGAAAGGCTTTTGGAAACTGAGTTCAGGTAGTAGATGGCCAGGCTGTAAGACAAGAGTGTGTTCCTGTGGTATCACTATCCTGGAAAGTGGCAAGAGCTGGATGCCTGTCTGGAAAATCAGGGCAGGCTTCCTGGAATAGGTGTCAAGGCTTTGCCTCTGGGCAGGGTGGAGGGGGGTCCTACCATCCTCAGTAACCCCCTTAACATGGAAAAAGGGTCTCCTGGACATCCTTGCTCTCTCTCTATTTGATGGAACATGGAAATGACCTACACATTTCTACCTTTAGAGTGCTCAGTAGAAGCTGGCTAAAGGTATCATCCCTCTTTTGGGAAATCTGAAAAGGTGGGGGAGGAGCAGGGTGCCCTGTCTGCAGAAGAAGCTACTGATTCTTCTGGGTACCTGCCCTACGCCAGGCTCTGTGCTGTGCGTGCCCCACCGCCACGTCTCACTGGTTTTGGCAAAACTCCACAAGGCAGAAAGGATGACTCTCAGCTTTACAGAGGATCCTGGAACTCAGAGAGGTTAAGTACTTTGCCCAAGGTCAGCACATCAATTAGTACTCCTCAGAGCCCACATTTGAAGCCACAGCTCTTTCCACAATCTTCAAGTACAGAGACAGGCAGAGCTGCTAGGTACCTGCTCCAAGTTTGCCCAGAAATCCAAATGTAGACGCCCTGGTAGGCCCGGTGCAGGGTGCACTGACGGGAATGTGTGTCCTGGGCTGCAGGTTCTCAGCCCCCAGCCCCACTGGCTGACTGCAGGACTCGGTGTCCCTGGAGGCTGCAGCCTGGGCTTCCCTTTCACAGGACCTGCTGGGGGCTGTGACCTGGACTGTACCCCCTGAGAACAGAGGGAGCCCCTGGGTTGGATGCTCAGCCAGCCTGTTGCCTGGGAGCTTTTTAGGTTCATCCTAATTGTCAGTTTCTCCACGCATTTCAAGCCTTAGCTACTCCATCTTGGGTCTTCTGAACCTTCCCCTCAGGGCAGGGCCACATGTAGCCACTTTGTAGAGTCTGCAACCAGCTCCTCTCCATGCAGAGAAGAGGATCCACGTTGCCTTCAGAGCAGAATGTACGTGTAGGTGGAGGGCTGTCCTGTGAGCCTCCCGAAGCAAAGGGGAGAGGGGAGGGCGGGTAAGGGACCACTGTCTGTTCCCGCACCTCGTCTCCACCAGGCCTTGCCCTTCCTCCTAGTAAACAACCCATTTGTTAGGGAGGAACCGGGGGTCAGAGAGGATCGAGGGTTTCTGTGTGGCTACATTCCTCCCGAGGCTGCCTACAAGGGTCAGGCTTGGTGCCTGGGTTCCAGAACTTTCTTAGGGCGGGTCACAGGGCAGTCCAGGTTGTCATATCATGTCAGCCCTCCCTCATGCAGGACTAGAAGTAGAGGATGTTTGAAATTGAGGATGTGAGGAAATCTACCCATTTTGGAGAGCAATTCAGCACTCTCTAAAATGAACAAAGAAACGCGTCCCTATGACCCTGGAGGTCCATCCTAGAGAAACCCTCACAGGGAGACATACACGAGAGGCACCTCTGCAATGGCAAAAAAAGGGGAAATGACCAGATTCTGTCTGCAGAAAAATGAATAAACTGTGGTTCACTCATTCATACAATGGAACACAATAGAGGCATTAAAATCTGTGCTCGTGTACCCACATGGGTACATCCCCTAAACACAATGTTGAATGAAAAAGCTATGTGGTGTGAACCATTCATTAAAAAAACCCTTAAACTCAGAAAACAATGGTACATACACATGTGATAAAAAGTACCAAGTATGGAAATGATGAAAACTAATCAAAATAGTGGCTGCTTTTGGGGAGAGAGGAAGAGAGAAGAATTGGGTAGCACTTGAAGTATATTGGTGACATTTTATTTCTTTTAAAGAGACACAGAGCCCTGGCTGGTGTAGCTCAGTGGATTGAGCTCGGGCTTGCGAACCAGGCAATCCGGTTTGATTCCCAGTCAGGGCACATGCCTGGGTTGCAGGCTGGTTCCCTGCAGGGGATGCACGAAGGCAACCATACATTGATGTTTCTCTCTCTTTCTCCTTCCCTTCCCCTCTAAAGGTAAATAAATAAAAATTAAAAAAAAAAATAAAGAGACACAGATCTGGAGCAAATATTGCTAAGTTTTAACATCTAATCTTGCAATCATGTATGCGGTTGTGCTTTTCTGTTAGAAATATGTTATAATTTTATTTATTTATTTATTTATTTAAGTATTTTAATTTATTTTTAGAGAGATGGGAAGGGAAGGAGAAAGAGTGGGAGAGAAACCTCAATGTGTGGTTGCCTCTCATGTGTCCCCTACTGGGGACCTGGCCTGCCACCCAGGCATGTCCTCTGACTGGGAATCGAACTGGTGACCCTTTGCATCACAGGCCCGTGCTCAATCCACTGAGCTACACCAGACAGGGTGGAATATATTATAACTTTAAAAGATGTATGCTGAAAACAGGTATTTATAAAGAAGAAAACTAATATTTTCTCTAGTATTTTTTGTAATCCTCATCTGAGGACATGCTTATTGACTGCTAGAGAGAGGGAAGGGGAGGAAGGGGGGGAAGAAACATGCCTCTGTGCAACAAACCCAAAACCTAGGCACGTGCCCTGACCTGGAATTGAACCTGCAACCTTTCAGTTTCTGGGATGACACTCTAACTGAGCCACACTGGCCAGGGCTATTTTTGATGATGGTAATTCACATCCAGGGCCCTAGCTTCCTGCCTCTTTTTCCTTTCTTCCCTTGGCCCTTCCTCGAGCATTCCTTGTTTGCCTCCACTGCCCTAGGCATGGGGCTGGTATTGGGGATACAAAAATCATCAGACCAAGACTTCCGCCAAGATGGAGGCAAAGGTGGAAGCACGGTGCCTTCTCACACAACCAAGTTTAAAAACAACAAAATTTTAGCAACAAAAACACACCAAACTACAGAAAATTGAACTACACGGAAGTCTGACAACAACAAACCATTCAGTCAAACTGGTAAGAGGGGCAGAGCCAGCAGCAGAGCAGGGTCGGGCAGGAAAGATCCACCAGACCAACCCAGGTGCGAGACCCAGGTGCGCCAGCAGCCATGGGCAGATCCCAGGTGTGGAGAAGCAGATGGACCCACTGAGGGCTGACCACGGTCACACATTCGAGAGCAGATAAACCGATGAAGGAGTGAGCAGTGAGGTGGACCGTGCAGGCCCCAGTGGCGGGAAGTGGCAGAGGGGACTGCCATTGTCCCTCTCCGACCCCGCCCCCACATACAGCATCACAAACCAGCCACCTGGGTGGCCCCGCCCTGGTGAACAACTAAGGCTCCGTTCCTCATACGTAACAGGCACGAACAGATCAAAACATGGCTCAAGAACAACTCAGAGCCCCAGAGCCAATAAATCTAAGTGATGAAGAAACAGCTAAACTTTCAGATGCACAGTTCAAAACACTGGTGATCAGGATGCTCACAGAACTGGTTGATTTTAGTCACAAATTAGAGGAACATATGAAGGCTAAACTAATTGAAATGAATGGAAATGCACAGGAAACCAAGAGTAATGGAAAGGAAACTGGGAATCAAATCAAAGGAGTGGATCAGAAGGAAGAAAAAAATGACCAAACAGAAAAGGATGAAGAAACAAAAATTTTTTTAAAATGAGGAGAGGCTTAGGAACCTTCAGGACATCTTTAAACATTCCAACATCCGAATTATAGGAGTACCAGAAGGGGAAGAGGAACAGCCACAAGTGGAAAACTTATTTAAACAAATAATAAAGGAGAACTTTTCCATTCTGGCAAAGGAAATAGACTTCCAGGAAATCCAGGAAGCTCAGAGAGTTCCAAAGAAGTTGGACCCAAGAAGGAACACACCAAGGCACATCATCATTACATTAGCCAAGATTAAAATGAAGGAGAGAATCCTAGAAGCAGCAAGAGATAAGGGGACAGTCACCTACAAAGGAGTTCCCATCAGACTGTCAGCTGATTTCTCAAAAGAGACCTTACAGGCAAGAAGGGGCTGGAAAGAAGTATTCCAAGTCATGAAAAGCAAAGACTTACAACCAAGATTGCTCTATCCAGCAAAGCTTTCATTTAGAATGGAAAGACAGATAAAGTGCTTCTCAGGTAAGATCAAATTCAAGGAGTTCATCATCACCAAGCCCTTATTATATGAAATGTTAAAGGAACTCACCTAAGAAAAAGAAGATAAAAAAGATGAACAGTGAAAGAACAGCAAACTCACAGTTATTAACAACCACACGTAAAACAAAAGCAAACTAAAAGGACAGCTAGATCAGAAGCAGAACCATAGAAATGAAGATTACGTGGAGGGTTAACAACAGGGAAGTGGGAGAAGGAGAGGGGGAGAGGGGGGAGAAGGTACAGAAAATAAGTAGCATAGACGGTAGGTAGAAAATAGATAGGGGGGAGGGCAAGAATATATGGGAAATATAGAATCTAAAGAACTTGAGACACATGGTCATAAACTAAAGGGGGGAATGGTGAGGGAGGGGGTGTGCAGGGTGGAGGGGAATGAAGGGGGGAAATAGAACAACTGTAATGGCATAATCAATAAAATATATTTTAAAAAATCATCAGACCCACCCGCTGCCCTTGGGGTTTCTAAGTCTTTGAGAGGGACAGTGATGAATGAATGCACTAGATATTTTAGGGCACAGGGTACTCTGAGGAGAAGTCCCATGGACCCTGCCAGGGACAGGCTGAATCAGCTCCTTAGCTTTCTCGGAGACTAAGAGCCCAGAGGTCTTTGATATTTCCTGTGACTGGTTAGGAGGGTGTTGCAGACACCATCAGCACCCACCCATATTTATTGGCCCCATTCTTTCAGTGTGCTCCCCAAAAGACTTGCAACTGCTAGTACTTCTCTACCCTTGTACCTGAAGCTTCCCCTGCAGCCCGCTCCCTAGAAACTGTTCTACCCAGGAACATGGCTGACCCCCACTGCCCTGCAGTGAACCAACACAGTTCTCCTCCCATGATTCCCAGCAGCACTCAGCCAGGGACTGATGGGAGCTGGTACACAAATGCTGCAGATCCCTCGCTCTTGAGCAGAGTTAGTCTGAAGCACATTGTTTTCCAGGGTTCTCCAGCAGGTCTAAAGTCATCCCAGGGACAATAAAGCAGCTTCCTGTCCCTTCTGCCTGTCTTCCCTACCCTTGTTCCCCAAAAAGCTACTTGCATTTGAATCTTTGTCTCAGGATCTGCTTCTGGGAAATCCAGACTAAGAAGGTGAGAAGGAAGGACCTACTAAGTAAGTCTGAACTGCAAAGGGGAGGTTTCCGTGAGGCAGAGCCATGAGCCTTGGCTAACTTACAACATCAGCAGGATGGCTGGAATGATCAGGCCTGGATTGGCCAGGAACGCAAAGATCTTGCCCAGGAAGGTTGGGAAGTCGTTTTCAACGGTCTCTTGGATGACATCATACATTCTGTTTTTCCCACTGGAAAGAAGAAGACACATTGTGGCTGCAAAGCTCACCTGGCACGTGACTGTGTGCACACACCCCCTCCCCACCCCCTCCAGCAGGTCCAAAGCTGCCTTTCACCACTGCTTTGGAAGAACTGGAGCTCTGGTCCGAATGGACAGCAAGTAAAAAATGCCGCACAGGGGGCTGCCATTTTGGCTGGGGATTGTAGCTGGGTCAGCACTCTGGCTTCCCAGCTCCTCATCCTTAGTACCTCACAGCTTCTCAGGCTACATTGGTCTCCTGTGTCTGACATCTTATGGGCTTTTGCCTACTCTCACAGGAGACTGATGTAGCTCTGATCTGAGCCCAGCACAGAGCTTCGCCTGCACAGAAGTAGTTCTCCAGAGGCTGATGTGATGGATGGACAACTTCACGGTGCCTCTCAAACACACCTGTAATCAGTCTTCAGATTACAATTCCAGGAGATAGGATGATGGTAATTCAAATGCATTCTCAGGGGTAATGCAAACCCCTGACCCACACTTTACAGAAGAGAAAAATGAAGCTTCTAGCTGTGACATTTTGGAGGGCACTACTAATTTGACAGTCCTGTGCTGCTTGCTGACTTCCACAAATGCTTGCCCAGAGACAGCTGCCCACTGCTGGCTTTTGGCTGGTAGTTTTGGCACCAAAGAGTGGACTTCAGGGTTTAAAATTCCTGGTTTAAATATTTGTTCCTCTATTTATTAACTGTGAAACATCATGGATAATTTACTTATTTTCTTTTTGGCCTATATTCATGCCCTTACTCTCCCCATTAGAGCTGTACTGTCCAAAGTGGCTATTAAAAATGCAATTAGCCCTGGCTGGTGTGGCTCAGTGGATTGGGCACCTGCCTGCGAACCAAGGGGTCACTGGTTCGATTCCCGGTTAGGGCACATGCCTGGGTTGTGGGCCAGGTCCCCGGTTGGGGATATGCAGGAGACAGCCACACATCAATGTTTCTCTCCCTCCATCCTTCCTTTCTCCTTTCTCTAAGAATAAATAAAATCTTTAAAAAATGCAATTAAAATTATTTAAAGTTAAAGAAAATTTAATTTCTTAGTCACACATTTCAAGTGCTCAATAGTCATGTTACTAGTAGCTACTCTATTTAAAGAGCAGATATAGACTTTTTCATCATATAGAATATTGTCTTGGACAGCGCTGCCTCTAGAGGTTTGATATCTTCGGGCAAGATACTGAAAATCTCTAGGCCTTCATTTCCACATCTGTATAATATGGTATTATAATAATAGCGTTTCCCTCAGGATATTGTTACAAATGCCTATAAAACGTTGAGTATGAGTGCTGTCAAATTACAGGTGCCCTCCGAAATGAAGCTAGAGCTTCGGTTTTCTCTTCTGTAAAGGGGGTTGGCAAATAATGGCCCATGGACCAAAGTTGGCTTGCTACCTGCTTTCATATGGTGTAAGGGCTCAGAATGGCTTTTGGGTTTTTAAATGGTTGGAAAGATAGCAAAAGAAGAATCATATTTTTGTGACACATAAAAGTAGAAGTATGAAATCCAAATTCAGTGCCCGTAAATAAGTGTTCTTGGTGCACAGCCACGATCCTCCATTTGCACGTGGTCTCTGGCTGCTTTTGTGCTCTGCCGGCAAACGGGGACTGTTGCGTCCGAGACCACTGCAGCAGGCCGGCCAGCACAGTACACGCCGCCGTGATGCAGTTATAACATGACCACATTCCAGGTGCCGTGCATCTCGCCACCATCTCACACTGATTATTACTTTTTAACTGCCAGTGCATGCCCACAATGCAAAAACAAGAAAAGGAAAGTGGACCTCGAATATTATGCTCTTAAGTCACAGTCAAGGGTAGACTACTTTGTCATTGGATTATGATATTTTAGATGATGTATTAGTTTTCAGTGTCTGCTTTCACAAATGACCACCTTGGTGGTTTAAAACAATACAAACTTATTCTCTTGCAGTTCCAGAGGCCAAAAGTCTGAAATAGTTCTGATGGGCCGAAACCACGGTGCTGGCCGGGCTGTTCTCCCTCCCAAGGGAGGTTCAAGGAAGACTCTGTTTTCTTGCCTTTCTTCAGCTTCCAGAGCTCCATCCCTTGCATCCCTCGGTTTATAGCTCCTTCCTTCCTGCATCTTCACAGCCAGCAGCACAGAATCTCCAGATTTCTCTTTGCTTCCACAACCACATCATTTCTCATTTTAAGGACACTTATCAGGACACTTGTGGTTTAAGGTACACCTGGGTAATCTCCCTATCTCAGGATCCTTAAATGAATCACACTGACAAATGTATCTTTTGCTTTATGAGGGTAACACCACAGGTTCCATGGATTAGGACCTGGGGAGCCATTATTCAGCCACCACATCTGCTCTGTGGCGCCCAAGGATTCACATTCCTTGCGCCTGTAAAATACGCTCACCAGCATCCCTACATCTCCAAAGTCAATCCACCAAAATCTCATCTAAATACCATCAGCTTGCAAGTCCCAGATCTCATCATCTAAATCAGGGATAGCTCAGACTCTGGGTAGGATCCACCTTGAGGCAAAATCTCTATCTGTGGACTTGTGAAACTAAAAAACAAGTTGTTTACTCCCAAAACATAACAATGGGTCAGCCTAGAGATAACGGTTATAGATATTCTCTTTCCAAAAGGGAGAACATAGGAGGGAGAAAGGAATCACCAGTTCCCAACAGTTCTGAAATTCTATTAGGTTTCAAAGGCCTAAAAGTAACCCTCTGGGCTCTTGGCTCTCCCTCTGAACCCGCATCTCTGCCTCCAGGACCAGAACTCTGCCTCACAGTCATCCTTCCTTTTTCTTGAAGAGTAGCTTTCATTTCAAGCAAATAGACTTCATCAGCCTGTTAACTGCCTGAAACAATTTTGGAGTCCAACAGCTTTCCTTTATTTCATCTCTCCTTTGTCCCTTTCAGCCCAAGTCGGTAGTGTCACTGCTCACAAATCATTCTCAGATGCCTGGTGGGTCTTCCATGAAAGCTGTGGGAATTCACTCCATTAGACAAGAAGGTCCTACATAGATCTTTCCTGGATAAATCTATCTCTGTTTCTGGCTTCTGCTGAGATGACTAGGAGGGTCTGAGTCACGTGCTTAAAAGAACCTCCGGTGCCAACGAATCTTTAGATCCTTTGATTCCTCAGAAGCATGAGCAAACGTTGTACAGTGTCCCCTCTGGCTTTCTTTTTAGAGCATGTGTTCCTTCCAGTGAGTCTGTTTTTGATGTCTTTTGCAATTAAGATAGACTGGGACTTTTCAAAACCATCAGTCCTGGTTCCTTTTGCTTATCGATTCTTTCTTCAATGTATCTGTTTCTTCTCACATTTTAGTATAAACAGCAAGAAACAAGACTGCACCTTCAATACCGGGCTTAGAAAGCTCAGTGAGATAGCCAAGTTCATTATTTACAGCGTCAGCTTTCCATACAACTGTTAAGATGTATCCATCTAGGTGTCTGTCTCTGTATAGTAAAGATCCCTTCTCTCCAGTTTCCAATGTCATGTTCCTCATCGACCAGTGGTGAAGAAATTAAATTGTGTTCGATGGCAGGAGCTAAGGAAATGTATCCAGAGAAAATAAATGCGTTTAAGACTTTCAGAGTTTCCAAGAAGAACAGGTGCTTGAATGATTGAGGTCAGTGAGAGCAATGTCCTACTGAACAACCAGGCAAACAATTTCAAGCGGTTTCCCTTGTTTTTTGATGAGTCAATAGACAGTGCTGATGCCGCTCAGGTGTCTACTTGAGGATTAATGCCAAGTGTGAAGTCGATGGAGAATTACCTTCTGTGAATATTCTGTGTGGAACAAATACAGGTGAAATTTCCTCAAAGAAATGGAGAAAACACGAGTTCAGAACAACCGAGTTAAGTGGGATCTCCTATGATGCGCTATAGCTGATAATGGTCACCACGCATGTAGACCAACCAATATGCTGTACACCCGAAACTAATACAAACTATACTGAATGTCAACTGTAACTGACAAATTAAAGAAATGTAATAGCAAATAACAAAATACATGGCAAGAAGAAGAAGGCTTAGATGGACAAATTCACAAAGCTTGTGAAATTGCAGGTGTGTCCAGACTACAGTTATTCATTGTCATTCATCTGTCGATAATTTTTGGAAAATATCTGAATCTTCCAAGTGCAACTGAACCACCAGTGTCAATGGTGAACTCCATTTGCTCTCATGACCTAATAATTTTCATATCTGTACATTTTTGTTCAAATAAAAGCTGAACATCTTGACTTGTCACCACTCAGCAGTTCAATGGCGTAGCAGTAAGTGGCAAAGGTCTCTGGCATTTCTTTTCTATGGTGGTGGCTGTGTTGCCACAGCCGGTACAGTGATGGATCCGGGCAGCAAAGGCGGCGATCTGGGCCGCACACTTAACCTTTGATGGTAAATAACAGTAACTTTGAACTTCTACCAATGGAAATATTATCACCACCTCCCCTCAAACACAATTCCATTCTTTCACTGGCAGACCTGTCTTACAGAAAATTATACTCTATTATTATCATAATTTGCATTTTGTCAATTAAAACTTTGTGTTCATTTGTTTCTTTCTTATGTATGTAAGTATCTACATAATAGTCTGTTTTTGTCTCTTGATCCCCAAAGCCTAAGTTATTTACCATCAGGCTTTTTTCAGAAAAGGTCAGCCGATCCCTGCTGTAGATAATGCCTCCCAGCTCACAGCACTGCTAGGGGTACGAGCTACTCCCGACTTAGGCGGGGCTCCGGCTGAACAAACTTGTGTGCACGCCTCACTCTGGATTGGCACTCTACTCCCCTGAGTACTGTACAAGTAATGACACACTAAATCCTCAAAGCAATCCTGCGAGGCAGGCCCTCACATTATTTCCCTCTTATAGCAATGACCTTGGTTTAGGAAGCTAAGTAACTTGCTCCAGATGACCGAGCTGGCAAATGACAGAGCTGGCTCTAGAGCCTATGCTCTAAATGAGAGGGTTGGCAATTTTTTTAAAAAGGGCTTGATAATAAAGATTTTAGGTTTTGTGAGCCAGAAGAGCTCTCTTGGAAGTGCCCGATTCTGCTGTTGTAGCAAGAAAGCAGCCATGGCTTATGTGTAAGTAAACAGGGGCGGCGTGTTCCAGTAACACTGTATTTGCAGGTGGGGGTCTGCACTGGTCCGTGGGCTATAGTTTACCAATCCCGATGTTTACCTATATGTTGTGCATCACCGCCCATCACTCATTTATGTTGCCTGCCTGGATCTGATCCAAACTCTAAGTCCTTCCATACCAAAGGTGAGGTGGGGGCTCTAGTTTAAGCATAGACTGTAAACAAGGTGTTCTTCTGTTCTAGAGAGTGGCTGTAAAGCAGTGAGAAAGGAAGCAAAGATCACATCCTCATGGAGCTTACGTCCCGGTGGGGGAGACAGACAACAAACTAAATAGGCAGAAGGAATGGCATGCAGGATGTTGATAAGGAGCTGTAAGCAGAAACAAATTTAAGTGTGTGTGCATGTGTGTGTGACATTTTAGTTAGCGTCTCCAGGGACAGCCTCACTGAAAAGGTGACCTTTGCGTAAAGACCTGAAGGAAGTGAGAGGACAGCTGTGAAAATATCTAAGGAATGAGCATTCCAGCTGTTGATGGGATTTGATCAGAAGAGTGACAGGAAGGAGGTGCAACCAAATCGCCTTCTGGGTTCCGTTTTCAGGTCCCTCCCCCTGCCGTCTGGGTGGAAGCTGTCAGGGCCTCTCAGGGTAGGGATGGAGCAAGGGTGGGCAGATGGTGGGGGCTGGGCATGGCACAGGCCCACCCACTGGCCTCCTGCCTGGGACAGGTGGGGCAGCCTGAGCAAAGTGGCCCTGGTGTTTGCACCCAGAGCCCAGGCCGTCTGACCTTGCTCAGGAAGGCTCCCCTGATTTGTACCATGTGGCTCTCCCTTCAGCCTGGCATTCTAGGCCTTCTGCAGCTTAGCATGTTCTTTCACACTAGATCTAGCCCCACTTTCCTTCTGCCTGAACCTCGGTTCATCCAGATGATAGTCCGCTATGGGCACTCTGCTAATGCCTCCTCTGAGCGTCCATGGCACTCACCATGGGCACTGACCACAGGGCTTTACCTAGCCACGTCCTTTACAACTGGGAATGCCAGATCAGATCTCCCAAAGTGAGCTGATCCCCACCAGGAGCCAGGGCAGGGGCTAGCCAGGGGCGCACAGTTTAAGGGAGGCATTCACCCTCAGGGCCGTGCAAGTGCAGGGGCGTCTCTCTCCCGCCCTGGATGGGTGTGTGTGAAGAAAGGGTTTGTGGCCAGTAAAGACGAAATCACTGGCTTGCACACTTTACCTTATTACAAAATTCTTTCAGGCCTTCGGTAAAGGAGCACGCATCAAGCATTTCTAAGTGAGAAGGTGGCAGACAAAGGGGGTACCATGTTCCAAACAGCTTTGACCACAGACCCCTTTTTGTGGAGTGGAGAGAGGGCTTTGGTTTTGAGGGCCTCGTGTTTAGAAAGAGAGCGGTGGATACACATTACCTCTCAATCCACCTCCTTACGAAATTATCCCTTTATACAGTGTCCAGTCTTCTAAACTAGTCTGACTTACCCCCTGAACCTACAGCGCTGACAAACTCTCCAGAGATCGTGGGGACTGTCAAGAGTCTCGGTAGCCACTTCACATCTGAAGGGCCTTTGTCCATATATGGTCATTTTATCTTCAGAATGTCCCCCCCACCCCACCCCCATTACATTACTCATCCTTCAGTAAGGTAATCCAGGGCAGGAGCTTATCTGTATGCTAAAAGGCTAGAACTGTGCTGTCCAGTACGGTAGCCATTAGCCACATGGGGTTATTTAAATTAAAATTAATTCAAATGAAAGAAAACTGGAAAGTCAACTATTCAGCCCCCATTTCAAGTATCCAACAGCTGTGTGGCTGGTGGCTACCGTATTGGATCATGCGCGCATAAAATACAGGGTCTAACACAAATAATGCCCCTTTTATCACATAATCATAAGCATGTAATTCTGTAACATAACAATATCACACTCAAGCACACCCTGTGACATTTTAGGTGAAACGTTCAAATTGCTGTTCACCTCGCGTGAGACGTTCACGCACCGTAACAGCCTCACACTCAATGGCGTTACTTCTGCCAGACCCTGCATTTCCATCCTGCAGAAAACTGCTGAGCAGCACTAAGAATTTGCCCAAAGCACCATGGCCTTTCACAGGCTGATGTGACACCAGAACCGGAATTCGGAGCCAGGGCTCTCTGAGCAGGGGGTTTCGGGGGCGTCTCTAATGCACCTGAACGGCCCACAGTCGAAGGAGGGCGGCAGAGACATGATGGTGTAGGCCACCGGCAGGAGGCTGAGGAAGAGCACCAGCAGCAGGAGGCCCATGTAGAAGTTGTTGGATCGCGAGGCTTTGAACACACGTTCGTGGGGGACGTTGCTGCTCATCACTGCCCAGCACTGGAAGTACATGGAGGTCAGCAGGCGCAGCACGTTGATGCCCACCAGTCCCGGGGCATAAAAGGAGCCCATCCTGGAGGGGCAGAAACCACACACCTGGTTGGCCCGGCAGCAGGAGAGGGGAGGGAAGGATGACAGGAGGAAATGAGATTAATGGGTTAGGGCCAGGGGGCGTCACTGCTTTCTCTGCAGGTCCTGGGAAGGGGCTTCCTACTTAGCCAGGACATTTATCACCAAACCATAGCCATTCATTCCTCAGGAGGAGGAGACACTCTCAGCATTACTGCCTCACCACCAGGCATCTAGCAAATTCTGTGGCCTCCTGCCAGTCTCCCCATGGTTTCCCTAAAGTAACACTGCTGCCCAGAAAAATATTTGAAAAATTCTTAAACTAAGAGAGTTGGATACTGACTTGCATCCAGCCATTGGCATCTTGAAAGTTGCAGCTGAAGTTGTGTGACCTCCTTGAACTCCCTTCTCAAAGGAGGAAGTCCCTCCATTTATCATTCTTCGTCTCTGCTTTTTGTCCTCCCTCCCTCCTTCTTGCTTTTCCCTCCATCCCTCCTTTTTCCTTTCTTCCTGCTTCTCTCTCTCCTCCTTCTGTCCCCCCTCTTCTTTCTATTTTCCTCTCCTTCCCTCCCTCTGGCCACGGTAGCCCAGGGGTGGGGCAGACACCGTCCTGGTTCTCATCTAGTCCCGTCATCCAGTTTTCGTGTGAAGGAAGGGAGCGCAGACAGGCCAGATGGTTTTTTCCAGCCCCTCCCCGCTAACGGAGAGGCCAGGCCTGGGATTCCAGTTTTGTGACTCCCCGAATGAGGCGATGCCAGGCATGCTGGCTAACTCACCAGATCATTCCTTGGTTGAAGATCAAACCAAGCACGTTCCCACTAATGTCAAACTCAGCATATGAAGGCTCAAGAAACAGAGAGAGAGAGAAGACATGTTAGATGGTGTCACCCAGACCCTGCTCCCAGCAGACTGTCTCAGCCAGGGCCACTCCGTCCCAAAGGGCCTGCTCTGTGGCCAGAGAGGAACTTTAGATTCTGAGCTTTACCTCCTTAATGTGTTTTTAAGTTTTAAAGAAACATTTTGAAGTTCTCAAAGTTGAAACTTTTTTCAAGTAAAGAAACGCGAGTTTTTATCTTTTAGGGCCTGTAGGCTGACCGTGTGCTCTTGGGAGTATGCTCGTTCCCAAGAGAACATTTTATCCATGCTCTTGTCTGAAATGTACCTTGAAATTATAATGAAAGAGTAACTCTAATAAATAATGAAATGCAAATAATTAAATGAGAAGTCAAATGAAAGCTTAAAAAACCCCAAATAAACAGATCACTGCTCTACTTCTCTTTCCGCCTTCTCGTCTTTCTCTGGTCTAAGAGTGTTCATGGAGAAGAGCTCCGCCGGATGCATGTTTTCAGTCTAACTCTCATTTTCAGAGTTTGGGAGGTTTGTGAAGCATTTGAAAGAATACGAATCTGTGAGCACCGAGTCAGGGGTCTTCATGAAACCTGTTTAAACCTATTTTCCCATTTGTCTTCCAGGTGTGGCAATAAGAGGTTACAGGGGTGAGAGAAGGAGGGAGGGGGAGTAGGAGAGAAAAGGAGGAAGGTCAGGCAAGTGTGAGCCAAGGGAGGAAGCAGCATAATCCGAACACAGGAAGATTAAATCCTGGGAATTTAAGATTTATCGTTTTAAAATATTTTTTAAGGCCCTTTATCTACTGGGTTTCATATATTGCTTAGAAAAATCTGACTCACCCCACGATGTTATATTCTCTGTTTTCTTTGATAATATATTTATATATGTATATATTTGATGATATATTTATATATGCTTCCTTTGAAAAATTCATGATTTCATTTTTTGATGTTTAAAACTTTCATTCACCTATAATTTATTTATTTAGGTAAAATGGGTGAGAGAGATAGCGCCCCTTCCAGTGGTTGACCAGTTGTCTCATCTCATTTGTTATATAATCCTTCACCTCCCCACTGGCACGAAAATCTCCCTTTATCATAAATTAAATTCCCATACAGATTGTACCTTTCTGTTCTACTCATTGCCAAGTTTGTTTATCCTGCAAGACCAGTTTTAGTTATTGTAGCTTCATAGTGTGTTTTAACATAAGGGTAGGTCTAGTCCCTTTCATTCGGTTGGTTTAAAATATTTGCCAGCCACTTCCACATGTTGATTTTTTAAAGAAACTTTAGTATTATTTTGGGATCTTGTTGAACTTATAAATTAATTTGAGGGCAATGACACTGTAGCAATGTCATGACATAAAGAGCCCATTTTCTTTGAGAACAAGGTTCTGCACCCCTGTTCTCAGGTAAGATTACAAAGTTCCCCCTCCCCCAGCTGAGGAGGAGTTGAGAAAACCTATGTAAAACTGTGGCTGGTGGCTAAAAGAAGAAAAATATGACAGAGACTTATACCTGGACCCTCACCTGGGCCAGATACCCTGCTGCATGCCGGGTGAAGATGACATAGTAAAGAAGATATGGAACTCAGTGAAGGGGGAGGTCTCTCCCAGGACCAGTAACCACTGGGTGGGTGAGTCAGGGGTTCTGGGAGAGGCACTCACAGGACAGATGAGGCCAGAGGTTCTGTCAGATCACAGAAGGCTTCTAGGGAAAGGAAACAACACACAGAATGAGCAGCTTCCCAGGTAGGTGGGGAAGAGCAGTAACTCAGGTAGAGAATAAGAGTGAAGGAGATTTGTCAAAGCACAATCCAGGAGACAGAACCAATGGTTATTATGTTCTTGGTGTGTTTCAGGAATATCTGAAACATTCACATCCATGTCTGCCCTACCCTGCTCCAGGATTTCATTAGGGCTTGAAAAATTAGGAACTACCATTTTCCCATTATCACTCTCACTGTTCCTGTGGCTTGCACAGTGTGGACGTGGAAGCCTGGGGTCCTTCGTCTTCCCTAAGGAGAGGGGATGCTGCTTCAGCATTTCTCTACCAGCCATCTGCTCAGCAATGAAGCATGTGGTCCACCCTTCCCAAGGTCAAACGCCTCCTTCTCCCAGATAAGGTCATGTTGATTGCATTGGGAAAAGGCAGATAGGACACTCAGAGGTAATACACACGAAACACTTTTCTACTTTGCAAAGCTGAGACTGGCATTAAGCAACTAAAGAAATGCATCTGTCTCTATCCCAGAGGACAGTCCAGACAACTTTCTGCAGAATGTCCGTGAGACGGGGACCTACAAATCCAGCCTCCAGGTCCCAGCACCAGCAGTAGTTCATGAAGCGGACAAAACAGGCCCGCAGGAAGTCCCCCACCAGGATGGTGATGTATGTTACCAGCATGTCAGACACCGTCAGCCTCATGAATTCCTGCAAGGAGGAGCACAGAGAAAGGGGGTGGTCAGGGCTGGACCGTGCCCACTTCTCCCAACTGACTGCAGCCACACAAACCCTCCCCCACCCACCCATATTCTTCTCTTTGAACCTCCAGTTCTTGTGGGGGCAGAGTGGTGGTGGTAGAGAGCAAGGACCCAGGCTTTGGAAAACATTTATATAGGTCTCACCTCTATAATTACTAGTTGTATTGCTTTGCCAGTCTCTAAACATCTTGAAGTTAATATTAACCTTGCAGGGTTAATAGGAAGCTTAGTGATTATGTATGCAAATTGCCTGGCATGCTGGCAATACCCAATGCTTGGTAGTTATCAGCACTTTTTCACAGATACAGGATCTGAAGGCTCACCCCTTCCTTTCCCCGCCTGCTCTGGAACACCAGCTGCCCCAGCTAAGACTGAATCTGGTCCTTGTCACTGAGGACAACAGCTGGCTCTTCACTTCTGGCTAATTGGATTTTTTTATTATAGAGAGAAAATAACACAGGTTTTTCATAGAGGCACATAGAGGAAGAGGCAAAAACAAAAGAACGAAGATTGTTCTTCTTTGTAGAGTGTATATAATTTATTATTTTTTGGAGGGATTTAAAGAACTGCCAGATGTCATTGCAACCTAAAGACATCTAGTAGATTTGGAATTCCTAGGGGGTACAAGGTCCACTTTATTCATTCTTGTATCCTCCAAGAGAATTATTAAACTTCTGCAGAATGAACAACTGATGAGTGTTTGGGGTTATTCCTGAGTGAGAATTCAGGTTAAGGCTCTAGATATTTATTTATCTTTAAGAGAAGGGAAGGAGAGAGGGAGAGAAACATCAATGTATGGCTTCCCTCATTCCCCTCTCATCCACTGAGCTACACCAGCCAGGGCCTAAGTGTTTTCATAGACAGCCCAGCATGTGTCAGGTCCCCACTCTGCACAGTGATCCTCTGAGGCCTGGGGAGGACGCAGTGGAGGACACCAGTGAGTGGGACAGAGTGCCACCGACCTGTCATTACCAACGAGCTCAGAAGGAAACAAGCTTCCATCAGTGATGGGAACAGCAATGGGCATCAGAGAGGAGGGCAAGAAGGATGCCTCCCAAGGATGTGAGGCAGCAAATGAGAGACTCTATAGGAGAATAATCCAAAAGAATCATGTAGGTAATGAACTCTCTTTGGCCTTCCAAAGAGGATGGGTTTTATTGACCTGAAGATTCATTCTCTGTTTATACATTGTGATGGGTTGAAAGCAGGAGCTGAGGAAGCTCAGTGGCTCTACACACTGAAGAGAAGGAGGCTTTGAAGAGCATGGGGAGTTTGGACTGGGGGAGGCAAGAAATGGTGAGTCTGAACCCTCCATGAAAGGAAGGGAGACAGGCAGAGGGGAGAAAAGGCCCCAGGATCCCATGGGAAAGAACAGATATTTCTCCCTGCAGGACTAGCCAGTTGGGAACCTGCAGGCGGTGTTCAGTGGCGTGTGTGATGGAATTCCTTCCTTTGTTGTGTACTCTATTGTCCTCAGTTAAACACACTGTTGCCTGGTGCTCTATGTGAGTGGATTCTTCAGGGGACCCGTGAAAAGGTCGTAAACTCTGCATCTCAGTGGGGTGATGGATGAATAGAAACCCCATGCAAAGAAATGGAGGCGAGGAAAAGAAGGCAGCTGATGCCCGTGTTACCTGTGAATACTTCAAGGTTCTGCCCACAAAGGCAAAGAACGCTAGGCTTTGAGGTCTACCTCATGCACGTTACGGAACAGTGGGGAGACTGGTAAGAGGGGATAGTAGCTGTCAATTTTTGAGACTTAAATTCAATGAAAACCACTAATTCTCTTTACAGAAAAATGCACAGAAGAATGCACATACACAAAAAGTCCTGCCTCCAATTTTTAGGAGTAATTATTCATGACTTCCAGGTGGAGAACCTGAGGCTTTCAGCAAAAAGTACAGTACCACTTTAAATAAATTGAAGTGGTATTAGATTGATGAATGAAACATATAGAGAAATTATGTGGGACACTGGAAAAAATGGGAAAGTGAGAAAGTAAGGAATACTAGCTGGATATTCTTGTGGCTTCAAAGTGGAAATGTCAAGGAAGAAATAAGAAGAACTGAGAACACAGATAACCTTTTCAGGAGAGCTGGGCTACTCACAATGCCCACGGCTGTCTCCCAGCAAGAGCCCCGGGGCACGTCAGCAGGGTGCAGGGGTGGCCGGGGGAAACTCTCGTTCCAACTGGAGGAGTTGTAATAGTTAAACAGAGTCCAGTGAGTGATGTTCTTTATTGTCTCTTCATTAGAAAGCTGGAAGAGAAGATGGCGATGAGGGTTGAAAGGAACCAGGGATGATCCTGCCACTTCCACAGGGACATCATTTAAAGCCAGAGCCTTACCACCTCATCTCTGCCCTACCCCTCAACAGAGTCTCCCCCAAAATGTCCTTGGGTCTTTTCCATGAAGTTATCTCCCATCCATCCATCCATTGTCCTCCCGTCTACCTGTTCATCTGTCCATCCACCCAATCATTCATTCTTCTTTTGAGAATAACTTATTGGGGTCTGTTCTGAGCAACTAAGGCAGTGGTGACACAGGAGCGAACAAGAGATGGGGCACTGCTCAGAAAGTTCACGGTCTAGTAGATGACAGAGATGAGTAGACCCTTGCAGAGTAGAGTGATGGAAAGAGCGATGGAAAAATTCTCTGGGGGTCCATGAAATTCACATCAGTCAATGGGGGCCACAGAAGACTTTCTGGAGGAAGAGGCACCTCAGTCACAACCTCAGGTAGATTAGTCAAACATGGGGAGAAGAGTGGACAGAAAGGTGGGGGAGAATTTTGCCCCGTGGAGAAAATGCGAGGCTTAGGAGAGTGGACCAGTCTACTGGGGTAGGAAGGAAGCCAGAGATGATGAAGAAGTGGTAGGCAAGGGCCATATCCAATCACTTCCATGCTTAGAACCTTCTAGTAGCTTTCCTGTTAATCTCAGGAAAAAGTTCATGCATCTCCATTATGAGGAGGGAGGAGTGAGGAAGAGGAGCATCGTCATCTGGGCCTTCCCCCCTTTTCATTTGTTCACTTCTTCCCCTCTGCTCTGTTGTCCAGCAATCCTGCAGTTCTCTGTTTGCACCAGCTGCCCCCTCAGCCTTTTCCAGTCTCCGCTAAGATTCCCCAGGTGGTTCTGGAGCCTCTCCTGCTCACTGCCCTGCTGCCCTGGGCTTGACCCCACAGAAGCACATCCTGCAGCATGAGTGAGTCTCTGTCCCCGCCCAGAGTGTGGACACCCTTGGGACAGGACTGAGTTCAGCTCTCTGTGTACCCTGAGGGCTTGACAGAGTGGGTGCTCCACAACCACCTGGTGAGCAGTGATGCAAGATCTCAGTGGACACTTACTTGGCTGGTAAACGCTTATGGCAGCTATGAAACAATAGGGGAAAGGCTGCAGGTAAAGTACGAAGGGTTCCAACCGAAGTGCGTATGATGTGAAAAAAGACAGTCTAAGAAAAAGACAGCAAAGAACTGCAGCTGAATGGTAACAATGGCTATCTTTGGGCCATATCTTGGGGATTTTTTTCTTCATTTAACTTTTCTGAACTTTCCAAAATGTATTTAATTAATATGACAGGTATTAGGAGATTATGACATTTTAGAAAGGAAATTTTGTGGGCACCAGAGACTGGGGGGAGTTTGTGGTCTTTACCTTGAGGTGGACATCATCCATCAGGGCCAAGAGAAACGTATAGAGGTTCCCCAGGAAGAGTGCAAAGATGCGTCCCAGCTGCCACTTCAGTCCAATGCGTGGGTGGTAATTCTCCAGGGCAGCGATCGTTTCAAACAGAGGGGGACAGAACATCCCAAGCAGAGACATCACGATTTCTACCTGAGAGATCGGAAAAGCCTGGGTTACTTACTTTGTCAACAGCACTTGGTTGGCCCCATCTCTGTACCCCGAGGCCATGCATCTCCGTCTCCTTGTTGCCCTCTCCTCTGTCTCTGGAGATGCCCTGGGATCTCCACAACTTGCCACATGACCCTGGCAAAGGCACCAACATGCCCCAAGCAGTCAGTGTACATCCCACACAGCATGATTGCTCTGTGACTGGCTGCTATCCTAACTGTTGCACTTAGTGTTGATAAAATAGCCAACTTTTCTGCGAAGTAAATGATCAGCCCCTGGGACAGTGCCTTGTGTTCTGTAAAGCTGTGAACTAGGTAAGTGTCACTGTGGCAGCCCTCGTCTAAGGAGCTCGACAGACAGGAAGCTCGGATCACAGAAGGGGTTTATCAGTAGAGGGATATAGTGGAGAGCATGGCGTTTGGAGTCACATGGCTCTGGGCTTGAGCCCACGCTCTATTCCTTGCTGGTTTTGTAATTTAGGAAAAGTTACCCAACTTCTCTGAGCTTCATATTTCTTCATGTGTAAAATAGTGATGGCAGTTCTTGTTGTGAGAGGCAGGAAATATATGGAAAATGGTAAGCTCTCAATTTTGCCTCCAATTTTGAGAGAATCCTGACTCCATAACTGAACCTGACCACAGCAGAATATCCTCTCTGCAACTCAAACTGCTCATCCAGTGGAGGGTAAAGTCCTGAGCTGCTGACCAAGTTGCAGGTTGGTCAGTACTTCTGGGCAGCTCCAGACTCCCTCAATCTCACACTGACCGTTGGCTTGGCTCTCATCCCCTTCATACCTGCTTAGTTCTACCCACCACTGCCTTTCTTTACGTGGTTGTCTAATGTTCAGCCTAATTCCTGCCTTTGCCACAAAATCCCGATCATGTTATTCCCGCCTTCTGCTGCTGTCTGTGCTTTGGCTTGTTCTTGTCAAGCCTGCTTCCTAAGGAAATTGTAATGCACTGAAGAGCAGAATCCATGCTGGACATCTTTCATGCTCCCCCACACACAGTTAGAGACCTGATGTTTTAGATGAATTCATTATAAATAGCATGTGCCTTTTAAAGATTCAATCTGATTATCACCTTTAAACTGTAACTTTAATCCATTTACACTTATTACAGTCACTAGTATATTTAGATTTAAATCTATATAATGTTTGCTTTAGGTTTGTCCTACCAGTTTCATATTTCTTTTTCTGTCCCTTCTTGCTTTGTTTGGGTAGACAGATTTTCTTATTAATGAATTTGTTTAGCTTATGATTCTGCTGGTCAATATTTGTTTCTGGGCTTGGCCAGGTGATTCTTCTGCTAGTGTCGCCTGGTTTCACTCCTGAACCTATGGTCAACTCATGGTTGATGGCTTTATTCACGTGTCTGCTGGTTGATTGGCTATCGCCTGGGGTGATGAGATAACTGGGCCATGTGTCTCGTCATTCAGCAGGTTAGCCCGTAACTGTTCAAGTCATGGAGGTCTCAGGGTTCCCAAGAGAGCAAGATCCAATACACAAGCACTTTTTAAGTTTGCTTATATCATGTTAGCTACTGTCTCATTGGCTAAAGCAAGTCACATGGCCAACCTCAGCTGGATTCAAGGAGTGGGGAAACAGATTCCACCTCTTCATGGGAAGAGCTAGAAAATCGCATGGCAAAGAAATGTGCATACAAGGGTGGGCAGGGTTTGTAGCCATTTTGCCAGCTGCCACAGATGTCAAATTCTCAAAAGAAATTTATGCATTCAACATAATCACAATAAAACATTAATGTGTTTTACTGTGGATCTCAATGAGAGAATCACTCTGCCAGATAATCAACACATACTACAAAGCACTGTTTATGAATGTGCTATTAGTGCAGGAATAGACAAATAAACCGGGGAAGTAAAGAAGGGAGGCGGATCACAGGCACACATAATAAGCACTTGATTTATGGTACTCGGCGCTGGAGAGCTGTGAGGAAAGGATCACCTCATTAACAACTCGTGTTCACTGACAAGCTAATTAAAACCAGCTGTATCTGCTACGAAAGCCTAATAATGGGTGACTCTTTGTTCAAGATGTGTATACTACCAGGTTGGAAAGAGATACAATTTCACTTTGAAAACAAGTCCTATAATCCAGACTTTCACTAATCCAGCTGAATGGCACAGAAGCCAGAGTGATTTCCACATTCACCCCTAATATTCACTTCCACAGATGCCCTCCTTACCTCATTCCTTTCATACCAGCTGACGTTCTGCATTTTGGAGAATTCCTGGGATCGCTTCACCACAAAGTAGATGAGGTACCCACTCCCACACAAACAGCAGATGATGAGAAAGTTGGCCAGAACCCGGAGGAATCTCGTCAGATGGATATTTTCCTCTTTATTACTCTCTTGTTCATCCACTATTGATTCCTTAATGTGTGGAAACAAGATGTGAATAATGTAAGGCCAGGAACCACTAGGAACCATGGATGGGTTTCTGAGATGACTACTTTCTGTATTTCCATAAATGAAATAATACAGAGGGGCAATATGAAGCACTATTGCTTATGGAGAACTAGTCCTTTCCTTTTAGAAAACATATTTTGTTGTTACTGTTATTCTGGTCCATGTAATGACAAAAGCTTAGGTTTGTTAAGTAATTGCTATGAACCAGATGTGGAGCTAAACACTTCCCAGGCATTTCCCCTTTTAATCCCATCAACTAACCAACAGAGTGATCACTGTTATTACCTGTAACACAGATACTAAGGAGCTGAGAAATTTCAGGAACTGTTTGGGATTGTTTTAAAGCTGTAGTTCAAATGGATTAAAATGGATTATTATCATGATTGAGCTTTCTAATTCAGAGACTGGTTTTTCTATAAAAAAAAAACTTGTGGCCAAACTTTTTCTATAAATGGCTCAGTAGCAACTCTTTGGCTTTGCAGACCATGTGGTCTCTCTCGCAGCTGCTCAGCTACACCGCTGTAGCACGAGAACAACCATAGTGAAGACATAAATATATGGGCATGGCTTTGCTTCAGTGAAATCTTGTTTACAAGTATAGGCAGCAGACTGGATTTGAACCTTGGGCCATAGTTGGGTGACTTTATTCTAATCCATGAGCATGGTATATTTCTCCCTTTATTTCAAGGTTTAGAATCTTTTTCAGCAATATTTTATACTTTTAGTGTAGCAATCTTCATATTTTTGGTTAAATCTAACACCGGGAATTTTTTAATTTAATTTCTCAAAAATCGATTTGAGAGAAAGAGAGGGAAGGAGAAAGGAAGGGAGAGAGAGAAAGAAAAGCAGTGATTTATTGTTCTACCTGTTCATGCACTCATTGGTTGCGTCTTGTATGTGCTCTGATGGGAGTTTGAACCTGCAGCCTTAGTATAAGGGGACGATGCTCTAACCAACTGAGCTACCTGACCAGGGGAATTCCTAGAATATTTTATAGTTTATATATATAATATTAATGTAAATGGAGTTCAAAATTATTCTCTAATTGTTTGCTGCTAGTGTACAACAATACCACAGATTTTTTTTTTATCATTAACCTGGTCTTCTGCATCAGTAACTACATGAGACACAATTAGTGTATGTGAGACCAGGATGGAAACGGGGTCTCTTGGGTACAGAAGTACATGGTAGGAGATCGTGCCAGTCAGTTAACAGTTACTGTGTTCACATACAGGTGTAACCAACTCATCAGGCAGTTAACCTGCATGAACACAGTTCTCACAACATGCGCCCCTTGAGTAAGTATATTATCTTGGTTTTGAATGGACTCAGAGGTTCAAAGAGCTTCATAGGCATTGACCTGTTTTGTCCCTCTCCGGTAGGCCTAGAGGAAGAGACAAAGCCTTCGTCGACCCCTGGCCTGTCCTTGGATGCCCCACCAGAGGCTCCCATTACTGTGAGAAGCGGGGAGAACTGGTCGGCTGTCTGCTCTACCCACTGCCACGCACACAGGACTTTGGGGCTCACGAAACCCATGTAAGTGAGTTGCTGAGCCCGCGCCCTGCTCCTGTGGGTGTACCCACCACCTGTAGGTGCCCGTCAGTGGGCAGCAGCTCGCTTCTCCCAGGAAGGGCCAGGAGAGAGGAAAGGGGAAAAGATAAGAAAACCGAGCACAGTTGTGTTATAAATCCGACCATTTCTGGGTCCTGGGGGCAAGTGTGGCTGATCAGACAGGAGAAATATTGAGCTATCGATAACTTTGAATGGTTTCTATAGTCATGGAGAAAAAACCAACAAGATGTGCAGTGCTTCAGTGTTACAGCCTCTGCCTGCATTAATCTGGTTACCCCTTAGTTTGTTTAACAGGGAGAGGTGTGTAGGTCATCTCACATCTCTATGAACCAGTTGATGAGGTAACTCATTGTGGAGTCAAGCACATAATTAATTCCTTCATTCCCACACCCCCTAACCAGGATTCTCAACTCTTTCTGGGTGTGCTAATCACTTGAGAGGAGCTTTTTAAAAAATCCAATGCCAGGATGCTGCCTAAAACCGATTATCCCATATTCTCTGCGGGTGGGACCGAGAAGACTTTTAAAGCCCCTGAGATGATTCAGACATATGTTAAAAGGTTGAGAACATCTGCCCCAAAGGCATCTATCTTTTCATGTCCCTCAGCAGAAAACAGTTCCACAAGGCAATCGGCATGACCAGGTCCTGACATCTGTGATTCTCTGACTTATTAAGAAACCGGTAGTGGGTACCAGCTGTGAGCATTTTTTTCTTAAAGGTTTGAAAGCTGGGCTCCTGCTTCAAGTACAGCTCTTGCCACAGATTATTTGGCAATCTTACTTCCTATGACCCAGCTGGGAGAAGTCTCCCAAGGACCAGAGGCACCCAGGGCTCCCCCAGGAAGTGGGAACCGCCCCGGGCAGCTACCTTGAAGCTGGTGGTGATGGAGGCGTACTTGTTATCGGCCGTCTCTGAATTCCCGATCAGGTAGTCCCAGCTGGTGAACATCTTGAAGCTGAATGTGAAGTTCTCACTCTCCCCCTCGCTTGTGCTGCCCTGGCTGTTGCTGGCCATCCTGTAGGGTACACAGCGCTGCCGTCATGCTTGCCCTGTTTTTGCTGCGTCAGCCCAAGGGGACCCTGGCCTGAGCCAATACTGGGCCCAGGTAGCAGACATCCAGTAAAGGAATGAACCGCACAGGAACACAGGCCGAGACAGATGGGACTCGGAGCACTTTCTTCCCAAATTCAGAGTCCTCTGCAAACACACACGGTGTCGCTTGTGTAACAAGCTTGCAGGCTATGGGTCACTTAGCCCTGTTTTCTACCCCGATGTCTGATTTCCTGGGGCTTGACTTGCCTCCTAGTGCTTGAGAACTCTTTATTCTCACAGAGGAACATTTCCTTCTAACTTACCTATTTTCTTTGATAGAAAATCTATTCCAATATAAAATACAGTAAGTCTTGAGATAGATGGTACTTTTCTGAAGTATGTTCGTGAAAGCACCTTGGACCTGCCCGGTCACCCATGCATTTCATTCTACCTACCCTCCACCTCTCTTTGTGGAGTTTCCCCTCTGGAGGTCAGCTCTTGGGAATCCCACAGTTCCAAGCAGGGGCTCTGTCAAACATTGTGTGTGTTGAGGGAGTGTGCTCCTCTCTAACTCTATCTTACATGTTGGCTTTTGGGATTTGTGTTCCAGGGGCTTCATTGGCTTAGTTAGCCCTTTGGTTCCATATCCGCAGACATATCTGGGATAATAGCAGGGGAAAAGGTAACAACAAGAGGCTAAGAATAAAACCACGTCTGTCTCCTTGGTTTTTTCCCTGTTGCTTGATGGAGCAGGGCAGCCACATATCAGCTCATGGTCACTGCTGCGTGCCGGGCAGGTCCCCATGAACGGCAGCACTTCCCCTGATGTGACGCAGTAGGAAGCCCCGCTGGTCCCACACATGGCCCTTCGGGGTTTCTAGCCAGGCTTTGAGAGTTCTCTGCTCCTGTCCTGCAGACACAGCTACCCCTGCTCTTCTGGGAGAAGTGACCCCTTGTGGCCCTGCTGAAGGGAGGTGAGCCTTGGTGGTCAGGTGTGTGCAGGAGACTGGGCCACCCCTCCCTGCACCAGCCTTTGTTGATGGGGTCCCCTGACTCAGAAGAAGGCCATTCATGGAATGGGTCAAGTGTTTCTTTAGAGAGCATGAATGAAGAATTGCAGACATAATTACAATACAATTAAGAACCAAGTCCGTTTCTGATCACTGAGACAAGGTAGAGTTGGGGCCAGCGAGGATACCACGGTTAATCAGAGCCACATACATTCATTTAGGTCTATTGTTTATATTGTAAGTGCTGGGCTGGGTTCTCACATGTAAGTAGTTACAGAGGAACAGCAGGGTTTTCTAAGGAAGTTGAACTCTGGGGAAAAACAAAACAGGTCTTGCAAACCTCTCTAGCCTTCCCTTACCAGGTACCATGCTTCCCCTCAAGCCACACTGGCCTTTTGACAGTCTTTGGTACTTACTCGAATATTTCCTACCTCAGGGCCTTTGCACGTTTTCTTTTGTCTAAAATGCCTCAGACTTCCAGCATCACTGGCAGTTTCCAGGCTCACCTAAAGGAGTTTCTGTCCCATTTCCCAGATCTCCCCACATTATATACCCTGTTTATCTTTTATACCACATGTGACAACCTGCATTTACTTTGCTTGTTTGAGGGTTTTTTGTTGTTTTCTCTCTCCATCCCCCACAAGGTGAGTAGTTAGAGAGTGGCCATGGGAGCGGGCTGTCTCATGAACAAAATTAAAAGCCTGTAAACAAGCGGTCATACTTACGATCTAATGACCATCATCAGGCTATAGCCGAACACGCTGACCCCCACCATAAAGTAAGCCATGGGCAACCTGTACCTCAGCCACCCGATGGTCCTCTGGTCGTTGTAGTAGCCGTAGAAGAGAGCGGAGTATTTGATGTAGCCCTGTGGGACAGCAAATCCCAGTGCTCTGGGTTGGTGTGCTGGGCGCAGTCATCAGACACCTCCGTTCTACCAGGCATTTCTCAGGGGTTCAGCGGGAGTCTCAGGGGAGGAAGGGAGAGTTCTGGGCCCTCCTGTTCTTCCCTTCACTTCCCTCAATTGCTCCCAAGTCTATCCATGTCTCCACATCTCCTCATCTTTCCCTTCTCCATTTCCTCTATTCTCCATTATACAGAGCACAAAGAAATACAGGACAGAGAGGAGAGTGTTGTTAACGTTAGGGATAAGGGGTGTGTGTGTGTGTGTGTGTCTGCGTGCATGTGCACAGATAGCTTCAAAGTTTTACCCTGACCACAGGACCCTGAGCAAAGTCAGGGAGGCACCGGAGGTGTGTGATGTGTTCAGGAATTTCCCCCAAACTTGATAACACTGGAGCATCAAGTGTGGGGTCTTAGATAGACAAGGGACTGAAGAAGGAGGGAACAGCCAGGTCAGGAATAGTTGTTTTGTAAACCCAATTCAGAGCACTGGATTTCATTCCATTTGGGAACGGGAACAAGTGACTATCAGAGGTAGGGGATGACAAGGTCAGGTCTGCATCGTGAAAAGATTGCTCTGGCAGCAGAGGACAGAGATGGCAGGAGCCAAACTAAGGCAGGGAGCAGAGCTGGAAGATTCTGTTGGTGCCCTGGAATAGTGGGGTGCTATTCAAAGGAGAGGTAAGGAGGGAGAGGGACAAGGGGACCAATTCAAGAAATATTTGCTAGGTGGGCTCAGACTTAGTGATTGATTGGATGTGGGGTGGGGTGGGTAAGAGAGAGAAGTGTAGGATGACTTTTGGGTTTCAGACTTGGATGATCGGATGAACGCTGGTTCTGATCAAGGAGATGTGGAAGAGATGCAAGTTTGGTTAAACAGACATTGGAATTTACGGAGCAATAGGACATTCACTGGAAGGTGCCAAGTGACACTTGGGGAAAAGCTGGAGTAGCAACAGCCTTGAGGTCTTCATATGGGTACAGGGAGGAAAAACCATACCGTAAGCTCAGCTTACACTGATCTGACAGAAGGAGCGGGGCAGTGTTCTCACAAGGACTGACATTCATCAGAGTGTGTGCCCACAGAGAGGGACCTAGGAAGGGGACTGAGGGGGACAGAATGGGCTGACTCGTTTTGCATAGTGCTGGAACTGGCTTTTCAATAATTAAATGCAACCTGTCTCACGTACCCACACAATTTTTTAGATCTCCCAATCACAAAATGAAAGTGCACTGGCATGTTGGCAATGGTACCTCAAAATCCCAGAGAACGGAAAAATCCATGGCTTTTTCTTCCTCAGCCCGAGGCACCGTCTTCCTGGGTATACTTCCATAGGGCATGCCCATCAGTACCTGTGCAGGGACGGAACGACGCAATTAGATGCGGGGAAAATACAGACACGTGGAGACTTTCCTTCTCAGAACAGGACACGCTCGCTTTCTTCTTTAAATGACATTTATCGTATTCCTGATTTTATACGTAACATACTTACTGTAGGAAATGGGGGCGGTATTGTCCATGAAGGGTAAAGGGGGATAAATGGTGGTGGAAGGAGACTTGGCTTGGGTTGCTGAGCGAACAATACAATATACAGATGGTGTATTATAGAATTATACACCCAAAACCCACATTAATTTTATTAGGCAATGTCACCCCAATACATTTAATAAAAAGAGAACAAAAAATTTTTTAAATGTGAAAAAGTTCAGAGAGCACGTAAAAAATGACCTGCCGTCTTAAAGATAATGACTTCATTAGGTAGTCACATGTTTCCTTTCAATCGTTTTTTGAATTTTATACATATTTCAGTCTGGTTATTTAGCTTAATATTCTTTTTTAAAAAAATAATTTTATTTAGTTATTTTTCAAGTACAGTTTTTTGTCTATTTCTCCCATCCCAGCCCCCCCACCCTGTGCTCCCACCTCCCTCCCATTTCCACCCCCCTTAGTTCTCGTCCCTGTGTCCTTCCTATTTGTTCCTCCAAATCCCTCCCCTTTTTCCCCCTTAAATAGCTTAATATTCTTTTATGACCGGTTCCCTATATCACATAGCATTCTCAAAACACAATGACTTCAGAATATCTAACCGCATTATATGTAGCATAAATTGCTACATATGGGAAGGACTGACTTTTCTGTGACATGCAGTTTCCTGTTTCAAGAACGCCTCCTCCCCTTTATCTACTTGTGCTTTTACCCTGCAGGGCTTTCTAATGCCCCTCAGAAAAAGTCTTCTAATGCATTAAATTTGTTAACAGTTCTCCCATAGGTTTGCTACTATTGTGAGTGTCAGAATTTTGAATTTCATCTCACACTGGATTATTGACGGTATAGGAAATGCTTTTGATGTTTGCTTATTTAGAATTACCTGGCCATCTCAATATGCTCGTCCATTAATTCAAGTAACTTTTTATTTATTTATTTATTAAAAAAATTTTATTTGTTTTCATTGTTGTTCAAGCACGGCTTTCTGTCTTTTACTCCGTTCCCAGCTCACCCCTCCACCGCTCCCCACTTCCGTCCCATTTTAATTCAAGTAACTTTTCACAGACTCATTGGGATTTTGGAGGGTATACAGTAACATCACCGCCAAACTAAAGTGACTTTGTTTTTTTTTTTTCTACAAAATGTGTAAGTTTAATTTTCTTGACTTACTGCTTTGGGTAGAAATTTCAGAATAATGTTTAAAAGTAGTAGAGATGGCACACCCAACATTGCTCTTGATTTTCAGTAACAGAGGCTTTAATATTTTACCATTAATGTAACATTACTGCTATTTTTTATTGGGTTTATAATTTCTAGGTAATTCTCTATATTTTTGTTTGTTTTAAATCTATATTCCTATTGGGAAATATATTATATATAAATGGTATATATGTATAGTTGTTCATAACAAAAAGAAAATTAACTCTGTATATCCACTACCTAGTTGAAGAAATAGAGCCCTTACAGGCTCTATTATGAACTGAGCCTTTATAACACCTTGGGTATGCCCTCCCTGATTCACAGAAGCTGTGAGATAATAAATGCTTGTCGTTTTCAGCAAAATTTTGGGGGGTATTTTATTATATAGATAACTAATACAAACCCAAATATCAAGAAAGAAATAATAAGAGTAAAAATGAATGACATAGAAAATAAAGATACATAGAACCAAGACCTAAATGTGAATATTTACAGTAGCTGTATTTATAATAGCCCCAAACTGGGAACAACCCAAACGTCCACAACTGGTGAGGAGACAACAAACGACAATACATCCATACAATGGAATGCTACTCAGCAATAAAGGAACAAAGTATTGATACTCACAACAACATGGCTGAATCTCAAAGACACTGTGCTAAGTGAAAGAGGCCAGACACAAAATAACTGCATTTGACATGATTCTATTTATATTTCCTCCCTTTCCCCTTCCCTCCCTAAAAGTCAATAGATGAAAAGAGAAAGAATCAACAAATCCAAAATTGTTCCTTTTTAAAAAATATAAAGGGGTGTTTTTTTAAAAAAGATTTTAAATTTATTTTTAGAGAGAAGGTAAGGGAGAGAGAAAGAGAGGGAGAGAAACATCCAGGTGTGGTAGCCTCTCACATGCTCCCAACTGGGAACCTGGTCTGCAACGCAGGCATGTGCCCTGACTGGGAATCGAACCAGTGACCCTTCTGGTTTGCAGGCTGGCGCTCAATCCACTGAGCCACACCAGCCAGGGCTAAAGTTGTCCCTTTAAAAAAATAACTCAAAGACAAAACTTTGATGTAAATGAGAAAAAATTACATTGTAATGCAAAAGGGGCTGTAGTTTCAGATACACAAATGATTTGAAAAAGCAAGAAACTATAACTTTAAGCCACTACATTTAAAAATATAAATTGAATGGCAAGTTCAGGAGAGTGATTACATGTGAGGGTTATGGAGATAATACAATTGGGAGAAATAGAGGACTTCAGTGTATATACAATTTCTTTTAACGCTTTAAATTACTGGTAGACAAATGGGCTCCTTCTTTATTTCTTTTCACATGTCTTAACTATTTTAATAGTTATTCTTAGTATAGGAAGTATACTTAGGAAGTACAGATATTAGGCTTACTGACTGGATGCTGTCTCTATGATCCCTAGAACAGAGCTTTTGAACTATTTTGAAGATGTAATTGAATTAATTAATGTCACCAGCAATTATCAACTTTCGCTGCATATTAGAACCATCCGAGGGGTTGTATGCGTCATCTAATGTTAACACTTAAACACTTGAAACAACCACATTTGTATCTTCAAGTTCCTGAGGGTCAGGGATCTGGGCGTGGCTTAGCTGGGTTCTCTGCTCAGGGTCTGTCACAGGCTGCAGTCAGGGTTCTGCCAGGGCTGGGGTCTCACCTGAAAGTCTGGCTGGGGAAGGACCTAATTCCAAATGCACTCATGTGGTTGTTGGCAAGCTTAATTCCTCACGGGGTGGTGGACTGAGGGCTTCTGTTCTTTGCTGGCTGTCTGAGGGCCACACTCAGTGCCTTGTCAGGTGGGCCTCTTCCGTCTGGCAGGTTGCTTCGTCAAAACATGCAAGCCAAGAAGGGAATCGAAAGAGAATGCCAGCAAAATGGAAGTCACAGTCTTCTATAATTAAATCACGTAAGTGACAGCCTTTGCTTATAGTCTGTTAAAAGCAAGCCACTAGGCTAGCCTGGATTCGATGGGAGGGAATTATATAAGGGCTTGATACCAGGAGGTGGGGATGACTGGGGACAATTTCGGGTATCTGCCTACCATAGGAGCCTTTAATTGGAGGATGCCACAACCAGAGTCTCAGGGAGTCACATTCGATTAATCTGAATTCATTGGTATGGGCCTAGGACCTGGTAGTTTTTTGCAAACTCCACACATCATTTCCACAACCAGCCAATGTTGACACAAGAAGTACATGAATGTGTCATCCAGCAGGGCCCTGACAGCCAGCTTCGGCGGCGTAACTTCCCCAGGGATCATGTGGACGTCCTGGGCTCTGCAGGCGATTGTCATTAAAGCTGAACAAGACTCGTTCTAGCATTTGGAGCTGTTTGATTCCATTAAAATGGTATTAACAATTTGTGGGAAAGAAATAGAAGTATGAGGAGAAATTTCGTTCAAGTTGTCTAACGTTTGAGCACTTCTAATATTCTTACTCCCAGACCCTCTGATTCACTGTGGGTAGCCTTGAGACATCGTTAGCCATGGGAATAGCCGGTCATCAGGCTTAGGCTGAAAACCCTTGGGCCCTGAGGTTATTATCCGTGTCTTTGACCACCAGGGCAATTTGCAGTGACTTTGGATGTGTGTGATTCCCATGTGGCCAATTTGCCATTTCTTCACTAAGAAGGCACCTTGGGACACCTGACATCCTCAACTGCTGTTATTTGAGCTGTCAACAAGTCTAGTCTGTTTTACTTCTGGTTCCTTTCTTTTAATCCATTCCCACTGGTCACGCCCTGACCTGGGACTGAGGTATTGAGTATCAGGCTTTTGATTTGCCTTTGCCCCTCTGCTCTTTCCTATCTGTCCCTCCCTGCTGCCCAGGGCTCCTCATTCCAGCCAGCCCCACCCCTCTCCCCACCCCCCACCTACACCCACACGACTTTCCCTGATCAGCATCCAATCAAATCAAGGCACTTTTGCTTGGGCAGTTCTGGTGACGCTGCTTCATTGAAACACACCAATCAGTAAGTTTTCATTGTTCCAAACAAACAATCCCCTTGATATGAAATACTTATAAATGGCCCTGGCTGGTGTAGCTCAGTGGATTGGCCTGTGAACCAGAGTATTGTGGTTCGGTTCCCAGTCAGGGCACATGCCTGGGTTGCAGGCCAGTTCCCAGGAGGGGACGCATGAGAGGCAACCATACATTGATATTTCTCTCCCACTCTTTCTCCTTCCCTTCCCCTCTCTCGAAAAATAAATAAAATATATATATAAAAAAGAAATACTTATAAATGATACCAACTCACATAAATTACATGATATTTAATGTTACCTTTTAGAAAAAAAAAGTAAGTGCCCTTAAAATGATTCAACTTCCCATAAGACTGCCTGTCTGAAGCACTGTATAGCACAATTCCAGCGATGTCTCCTAGACCTGCAGAATTTAAATGTGCTCTCTTCTCATGGAAATAAATTCATTTGGAACAAACGCTCCCAGGAAGAAAACAAAGGCTCTGCGAGGGTAAGTTTCCCCAGTGGTTTCTGACAATACTTTTTCCGTGGGGAGAACCAGGCTCAGGGGAAGAGCTTGGCCCACACTCGCCGGAAGGTTAGAAACCCTCCTCTCCTGCTGGGAGAGTGATAGTGGCCCCAGGACACGGCACTAAGTGGACTCATGACCCTGGATGCCCAGCTATGTCTATAAAGGGCTAGGAAGGCTAGTTAACGACATATTAGTCACTACACGTTTTAAGTCATGTAGAAAAGAATTCAGTGGTTTTATAATGTGACATGTCTTTCCTCCCAAGTGCTATTACAATACACCATCAACCTCTTCCGGCTGATCTGATTTCATTCACATTACATGGAAGTCCTTTTAATTTTCTAAAAAACGGACTTGCAGAACTGTTTCTCAAGGACGGGATCACACATAGAATTGACTCCAGTACATTCACAAATCACTGATAATAAAACAGGGATCAGTAAACTATCATAGAGCCAATGAATAAACCTGGAAGGAAGAAAATACTGAACACAGACATATTGTTACCACAAAGTAAATCCCCCTGTGCACCCAGCGCCAGCACCACGCAGCTCAGGCAGGACACTGAAGGTGTGTGCTCAGCGCTTCATGGACCAGGGGCGCCGTTGGGAAAGATGCCAGGCCACCGCTCTGAAGACTTGGGAGCTCATTCACACGAATTTGCTGTATAACTTTGTCCAAGTCACTTACTCCTTTTTTTATCTCTCAATTGCCCATTTATAGGCAAGGATCTACTTATATCTACAATAAGATTACACTTGAAAAAATGGTGAGGGCTGCTATTTAAATTTAATATTTTTAGGTAATACATTATGATATAATGCATTCTATGCCCCCCCTTTTAGGGTAAAAGAGAAAAAACTCACTGTGATAGTAATTCCTTACTGACCTTAAAGTAAAATGAGACATAGAAAAATGTAGGGTCCACCTCCTAATTCAGAAACACAAATATTTTGGTTCCATTTTGGGGGGTGGGTACTGAGCTATCCGGGTAGCAAATGTGAGTATAGAATCCATCATGAATGACTTGAGTCTTTGTAAAACAGAGAGATTTAATATAAATGAAGATGGTAGTCATGATAAGCCTCCACACCCCCCCCCCAAAGTTATAAGGAGTTCTTTTCTTACCTCTGGGATTATGACTAGACCAAATATTAAGCCGAAAAGAACAAGGTTAACGCCATACATCCATCGGAGAAAGATGAAATATGATGCCACTGACGAACCAAAGTGACCTGGAGAGAGAAAAGATGGTGGGACTTTAACGTTGCAGGAGGAGGACATGAACGCCAGGAAGCACTTTCTGTGTGTGACGGATCCAATCTCCACATTTGTCTGTGGCCCGGACATCCTGATCTCCATGTTCTCTTTGCAAATAACTAGCCTGAGGCTCTATGGGCTTCATGAATCTGCCTACCTTCCCATAATCAGAAAGTCAAGAAACACAATGTAAATATTTGTCTAGCTAGTCCAAAGCCCGTCCCTTTTCCTAATACAGCAGGATCTCCAAAATATTCTAATCAGATGGTCAAACACACAGTCCCAGCCCTTGCAAAACTCTTCAGTAAACCAGCTAAAAAGTGTGACACCAAAATACTCACTTTCAATGTCCTTGATCTTCATTTCCCAGGGAATACACTGAGTCTTGAAGTTATGGAAGTCTCTCTTAAACTTGACCCATTTCTGAAATTAAACAGGTAATACCCTCAGTTCATTAACATGCTGCCTTGGAGTCTGGAGGGGCCTGTGGAGGTGCAGGTTGACGTTGACATGTCCACATGAGGTCGGCCTGTGGGCGAGGCTGCCATCCTGGAGTCAATGAGCCCAGGCTGCCAGAGGTGGATATTAAATCTTCACTTTAAGTCTGGCGCGGAGTGAGGGAGAAGTCGGGGCAACACAATACCTTGCTTCTGTCTACAGGGTTGATAAAATTTCTCGATTGGACAATTTATATATGAATTTAGAAATTTTGTGTATAGTTTCGGGGATTGAATGGGTTAGCAACCTGTGATACAACTTCTTCCACCTTAAAACAAAAATTCAGGGGAAAAAAGAAACCTCACCACTTTCACATCCACATTTGGCAGACAGTCAAGTGTCTAAATCTGATAGGAAATGTTGCTAAACCACGATGCCGATAGAACCAGTAGAGGTGTCAGCCCGTGGCTTCCCATTCTTCTGGGGAAACCATAGCCTGCTTTGTCTTTGTTTTGTTTTTCTGAAAAAAGCATTAGGAAGACATCCCGCCCCTTTCCACAGTCTTTGCCCACCTCCAACACCCAGAGTCTGCCTGTCTGCGGGTGGGGTGAACATCTGTCAACTCTTCAGGGGGGGCTGCTTTCCAACACCCCCTCCATCCCCTGGTGATAAATCCAGTTGGAATGTTGAAAATTCATAGAAAACAGCAAAGGGGTAGTAGGCAGAAGATCCTAAGATCAATTTCTACTATTACAAAGCTCGCCTAAGAACTTGTTCAGGGAGGAAGATTTTTTTCCCTTGTAAATTCACTAAGGATGAAAGGGAAAATTGGAAGGAATCAGGCAGGCTTCCAGACCTGAAGGTTCTGACCACACCCTAACTGGGCGGGTACTAAATAAGGGAGAAAAGCACTTGTCAGAAGAGGGAAATGGTCACAGAGGCAAAAGAGAAGAGGTGCCCATGAGGAAAAGACTGGTTAATAACAATGCACAGGTATTTCTATGACAGGTAGAGAGGGATGTGAGGCAGGTAATGGCCATTGCGCACCTCAGTCCCATTGCTTCCCCCACTTTTCTCAGTTCCGATTCCGTGCTCAGAAGTCCTTCTTGGCTTATTTGGCTTCCTCCGTAGGTCTGTCTATGAGGAAAGCATTTGCCCATCACCTGGGCTCTGAGTATTTTGGTGTCTATGGCAGTAATTTTTCACTGCAAATGAATAGATTGGAATTGGGATTATAGTTTAGCTTTCCACATAACTAACTCTACTAAAAGTAAAATGCCTTGCTGATCTGGACTTCAGATTTCCCAGTTCTTGTGTCATTTATTTCTCCTTTTAAATTAATAACCCAGCATCTGGTTTTATATATCAGTCTCATAAGCTTTATTAATGTGAGTCCTCCCCCAGATGGATCTCCTATCGGGTTGCTGATAAAATCAGTACAAACTATAGGCTTGCAAGGCTGAGGCCAATGTGGGTAATGAAGCTGCCCAGTGAGGCCCCTGGAGGCAAAACCTGCCACTTGGTCACTTGGCAACTGTCTGACAGCCCCTCAGGGCTGCAAGTATCTCCTCCTGAAAAGGATGCCCTGGAGGTGGAGCAGAAGCAGGGGGAGGCCTGAGAGAAGCTTCTTCTGGAAGCTCTTACCCTTCATTGGCTCAGAGAATCAGGAAACTTGGCAGAACACCCCCATACCCTTGCTCAGAGCTCGGTGAGGTGGTAGCTGCTGCCCTAGGACGGGGTTATGATCACAGTCGTGCCTGTCACCTGGCTCTCCAGCTATACAGGAAGAAAGGTTTCAAATAGGGACTGGACAAGGCACAGGTGAGCTATCCATCCTGTCTGTGGATGTCACTCAAATGACTAGGAACAACCAATGAGGCCTGAGAAACTGCACCACAGAACCAGGGAAAAGGGACAGCACTCTGAAATTTTTGGAAGGCGTTTCCTCTAGAGACATGAACGCATTTGGAGAAAGGATTTGGCATTCTTAATAGGACACAAGAAATGTGGCTTCTAGAGTAAAGGATGCAAATTTGAGATGAAAAAGAATATAGGCAAAGTGTGGAAGGCTTACAAGGTAGCAAAAAGTTCAGTAATAGAATGAAAACAAGCATTATATAGTAATTGAGATAGAAGCAAATTGATTAAATGATCTTGAGAATAAATCTGAGAAATTTCAGTGACTGCAAAGAGAGAGAGAGAGACAGAGAGCAGAGAATTAATAGCAATGAGGGAAGGTAAACACAGAGGACAGAGGATGGGTGGGAACCCTTTTCTAAGGAAGAAGGTAGAACTCTGAATAGAAACATGATTGATCAAAATCACTTATCAAGGATATAGGAGAGGAGCACACTCCTCAGGTGGAAAGAAAAGATCTGGGTGTGCAGTTGTTAAGTGGTAGTTTCCAGATAAAATTAATAAAATGACTCATAGGTAGTTGTTAGGAAATTAAAACTGAAAAAGGAGAAAAAAAATAACATTAGGAACAAAAAAATTCAAACCCAGTATATATAGAAAGTAATTACAAAGATTATGGGACAACCACCTGTAACTTTCTGGTAATACATATGTAGATCTTATAAAATGATCTCATTTGGGGAAGAATATAAAATATCGAAGTGGCCCCAAGAAAAAGTTAAAACTTGAATACACCAATAACCAGGGAATACATAAAAAAGTCATCAAGGCAGTCTATACAAATGGATGATTGCTCAAACAATATGTAGGGCTTGGAAAATGAGATCCCAGTGGCTTTAACATTGTTAATTTTATGAGTTGGGGTCTTCACTGGAGAAGAAACAAGTTTCAAATGTGTTGGGACCCTCACGTACAAGTGTAGAGAAACTGAGCGGGTTACCCTTCCTGGATGAATTGGAAGGGTCCACGGGACCTCACGCTCAGGATTCTGGGGCAGCCAGACACAGCGGCGAGGGTGGGAGGTGTCTGCGGTAGTCACCCGGATTCAGAAGTTTGCAGCCCCTGCACCACACACCTTAGCCATCAGCATCTTATAGGCGTAGAGTCGCTTGCCTTTCCCCTTTCCCAAGGCTCCTTCATACTTCTCCACAAATTCTTGGGCCTCCCTGGTTAGTTAAAAAAAAAAGGGGGTAGGGGTAGGAATTCAATTAACACCCAGCCAAAAGAAATCTGAACGATGAGGGTGCCTGTGTGGCTGAAAGCTGTGTTTTTACACTCCTAGTTGAGTATAAGGTAAGTTCCGTGAAGGAAGGGCATTTTGTCCGTTTCGTCCCCACATTCTCAAATGTAAGCACAGGGCTTGCTACAGGGTGGGCACCTGTAGGCAGAATTTTGGCCCCAGCGATCTTCTCCCCCTGGTGGTACACTCATGAATGGCAAAAGGGATTTTGCAGATGTACTATTACAGACTTGAAAATAGGGACATGATTTTGGATTACACGGAAGGGCCCGCTGTAATCACATGAGAGCTTAAAAAACAGAAGAGGACAGCAGAAGAAGCAGAGACAGAGCGATGTGGAAGAAGGGAAAGTCGACAAAAGCCGAAGCAGGACAATTTCTGATGCTCTATTGGTGCGCCCCAGGTGGAAAGCAAGAGAAGAAAATGAATTCTGCCCCAAGCCAGTGGGCTTCGAAGAGGACCCCGAGCCTCAGCTGGGAACTGCAGCCCTGCCGATACTTGGTTTTAGCCTGGTGAGATCCTGAGCAGAGACTCCAGCCATGCAGAACCGTGAGCAAACCAGTGAGCACTGCCTGAAACTGTTAAGCTTGTGATTTGTTACAGCAGCGATAGAAGAGAAATATAGCATTCGGTGGATATGCGCGGACTGCATGAATGTTGAATGAATAAGTGAGTGAACAAGGAAGGCTGGATGAGAAATACGTGGATCAGTGAACTATTCTGGGGTGGTGTGCGGGAGGTGGCAAGGGCTGGCTCCTGAGAACCTATTGTTAGCTATTCAGGAATGTGGCCGAACATCTGTCGAAATGTTGGTACCTTGAAATTGGCTTTGGTAGGAGTACTTAGACCATGGAAATCAGCAAATGCCACAGAAGCAGGGCTCCCCCATCCTGTCCCCTGGAGAACCAATTAACCAGCAGCTACTGGATAAACCCAAACAAGCAGAGGAAGAATGCAGTCCATTCTCGGGGTGGATGCTGGAGGCATGATGGAGCTGTGTGTCTCACTGCTACGGCTCCAGCTCCCACTGCAGCCGCTCAATACGCAGAACCTCCGCCCTCTGTGCGGGCTGTCAACACGTGTCAAAGTCACGTTCTAACCTGGGATTAATCCCAAGGCTGGTTGTCAGGTGGTTGTATTAGGATGTTTCCACTATGTATCAATATATACATTTTTTGAAATGTGTCAACTTTTTTTTTTTTTTTTTAATCTTTAGAGGGGAAGGGAAGGAGAGAGGGAGAGAAACATCAATGTATGGTTGCCTCTAGTGCGTCCCCTGCTGGGAACTGGCCTGCAGGGAACCAGCCTGCAACCCAGGCATGTGCCCTGACTGGGAATCGAACCGCGATCGTGTGGTTCGCAGGCCCGTGCTCAATCCACTGAGCTACGCCAGCCAGGGCGAAATGTGTCAACTTTTTAAAAAAAGATTTTATTTATTTTTAGAGAGGGGAAGAGAGGAAGAAAGAGGGAGAGAAACATCAATGTGTGGTTGCTTCTTGCTCGCCCCCAACTGGGGACCTGGCCCAGGCATGTGCCCTGACTGGGAATCGAACTGGTGACCTCTGGATTTGCAGACAAGTGCAGGAGGAGACTTCTGTTTGCTGGGGAGACCTGCCCCAGTGAGAAAGCGAGAGACATTCTTTCCAGCACTTCAGGCCTCAGGCACTTCTCACCTCCGCCAAGGGCAGACACTCTCCCTTTTGCCTTTTGGGGAGAACAGGAGGTATGTTAGACTTCTGCTCAGGGCAGCTGAATAGCCCTAGGGGGGTTTTCGGGGTCCCCAAGACTTCCAGCCAGCTGGAGATCTCGTTTCCGTAAGCATCAGGCTTGCTCTTTTTCCACTGTTAATAAAAGATGTGTTCGCTGACACCTGAGCGGGAGGAGGCTCTGCAGGAGTAGCAGATGGCCAGGCGCTCTGGCTGAGCAGAAGAAGCAGGCCCCGGGGGAGCAGGGATGGGACTCAGACAAGTGGAAGACAGCCACTGCCCCAGCCGCGCCCACAGCCCAACTTGTAGCCATTTGATCTGATACTTAAAACATACTTTCCGCATGTACTCAATATAAAAAATCACTAACAAGATATTTGACATTCTTTTTGTTCTGTCTTCAAAACCTGCTGCTCGTCTTGTGTCATGCATGATAGTTTAAATTTAAATAATTTAATATAAGTAAAAATTTTGGTTTCTCCGTCACATTGACTGCTTTTCAAGTGCTCGACAGACACATGTGGCCACTTTGTTAGTGCAGAGTTAGAGCATTTTCGTCACTCTGGAAAGCTCTGTGGGTCAGCGCTGGCTGGCAGGCGCCCGGGGAAGCATCTCTTCCTGTAGCTGCGGGGGAGGCAACGTAATGATTTGCAGACAGTGGAGGAGGCTCTGCCGGGACCCTTGTCAGGGTCTGCACCGCATTTGCGCAGCCGGCGTCTTTGCTATGGTCTTGGGTGCAAACAGAGTTAAAATTAAACCGCCAGCCCTGGGCTGGAGTGGCTCAGTTGGCTGGAGTGTCATATCCGTACACCACAATGTTGCAGGTTCAATGCCCAGTCAGGACACGCACTTAGGATGCCGGTTCAAGACTTGACTGATGTTTCTCCCTCACATTGATGTTTCTCTCTGTGTGTCTCTTCCTTCCTTTGTTGAAAGTCAATGAACAGGTCTTCAGGTGATGCTTTAAGAGAAAACCACCAATTTTTTCTACCTAATAAAAGGGAAGGCAGTTGACTTGAGCCATCAGAAAACTCAGGTGTGAGAGCAGCCAGGGAAATGGCTTAGAGAGAGGAAAGGGGGAAGGTGAGTCGCCCCCAACCGCAGCAGACATGCAGAGGAAAGACTTGGGGGAAATGGTAATGTTGGATGGGAATCTTTTCCCATGGAAAACCTGAAGTTAAGCGATGTGACGCCTGCTCTTATCTCAAAACTGCAGTCGAGACACAACATGCTTGGTGTGCCGCTGTCACACGGAAGCCAGAGAGGTGGCTGAGTTGAAAGCAGGGCTGGGGACATGGGCACAAGGCGGGCGCAGTGTCCGTAGAGCACCACTGCAAGCTTGGCCCTGTGTTGGCCACCTGTGAGGACGTGAGGCAGACCCCCTCCCTGCTCCCCACAAGTGTGGGGAGACTCTGGGTGCTTAGAACACAAGATCAGCCTGAACCTGTTCAGGGGGGGTCATAGAGAGCTGCCCCCACCCCCGAAGGCACGGCTGTGCTGGGATGTGAGGGAAGCACAAAAGCCAGCACATAGGGTGGGGGTGAGACAGAGGGAGCAGCCAGGCAGTGGGAGGGCTGGGTGTGAACTGGAGCACCGTGATTCTGTCCCTGTAGCCGAGCCCTGCTCCATGCTGGCCAAACAGCAGGGCCTCTGTCCACAGTCACAGCCCACACCCGTCCTGGCTATAACGGCAACTCCCCTCAGCACTGTGCTTGGTGCTGGGACCGAAAGGGACCACAGCAGGTGGGAGGGCAAATCCTCCTTCGGGCCAAACCTCGTTGGGGCAGAGAAGACGAAGGCACTACCATGCCCATCAGGAGTGGAGGCTTTTGGACATCAAGAGGCCCCGCCTGACCACCACCCGCTCACCTGAGCTCCGTAAGCTTCTTTGCCATGGGCCAGGGCTTGTTGCGCATGGTGGCAATGAGCTTCTTCTTGTCTTCCACCTGCTCCAGGATCTGGGCCAGTTCCTCCTCAGACAGAGACTCCCCACCGGAGGCACTGGAGGCCGAGGAGGACGACCTGGAGGAGAGCCAGGGCGGAGCAGAGGAGAGTGAGATGAGACGGGTGTGGAACTGGAGGAGCCCACAGCCAGACAGACGGGCTACGAGCCCGACACTCACGGCTCTGACCACCCCTGGCAGGCCTGCCCTGGCTCCGAAGCCCTCAGTGGCTCCCCCACCTGTCTGAAGGGGCCACGACTCTGCCTGCAGCCCAAGGTGCTGGGAGGGGTGCCTCCCCAAATTCTATTTCTCTGAGTCCTCCCCACATACCATACTCTAACACAGTGCTGCCCGATAGAAATATCATGCGAGCTACATACTGTAACTCTAAATGTTTTAGTAGTCACAATAAAATGGTGGAAAAGAAATAGGTAAAATTGATTTTAATAATGCCTTTCTTTTCATCTAATATATTAAATTTATAATTTCAACATGCGATCAATAGAAAAATTATTGAGATATTATATATTCTTTTTTTACTCTTTTCAAAATTTGGTGTTCATTTTGCACTCATAGTGCCTGTCAAATCAGACATTAAATTTTCATTAAGCATATTTGATCCATATTTGAATTTCATGAACTTTATCATTGAGAAAGTAGGTTCACATGCCCAAACTTTTAAGACATACATTGAAAGTTTCCTGATAAACGAATCAAGCAACAGAATATCATTTTCTCCTGACATTTGCATCCGCATTGACAAAATTAGTTTGCCTTCTTTTATTTTTAAGAGAAATGCTTTGGCTTCAAAGTAAAATTGATTTCGAAACTACATCTGCCAGTCTAAGTTAAGGAAATTTACTAACTCTTGTGACGGCTCTGCATTAACATCAAGTTAAAATTAAATTAAGTTGGAAATTCAGTCCCACTGGCCATATTTCAACTGCCCACCTTGGGGCTGGTGGCCGTTGTGTTGGCCAACACCCTTCCAACTGCCACAAAATTCAAATTCCCGTGCATGCTCCTCGCGGTTTCCCTCCACCAGAGGAACGGTGGCTCAGCTGAGCTGACAGAGGGCAGGTAAGGGAGGGGCTGGATGAGAGTTCTGCTGGGGCAGCCTGCTCAGCAAGGTTGGTTCACGGAAATACCAGGATGTGCGCTTTGGCTCCTACAGGTTGTAGGGGCCAGTTTGCAGCAGTCTGCATGGGGTTTAGCATGTGGTGAACTCCAGACGGGCAACAGGGGAGTCGTGGGTGGGAGGTGCGGATTGGGGGCCCTAGCCCTTGAACACCGGGAAGCCTAGAGCACACCTCTACACACTCCGTGATATCTGCCTTGGGGTCTTGGCACTGGGTGTGCCCTCGGTCTGGGGGCCTTCGGTCATTGCTTGTTGCAGTTCCACCTTTGCTTCCAGAGGGCTTATTGATGTGCTCATCTTCTCCAGGGAGAAGCCCTGGTGCCCAGCCCCAATCCCATTCTTTCTAATGTGCATACTGCTTTCTGCCTAGTCTTACAGTGACTGATGCCCATGTCCTGTCTCCCCCACAAGTCTCTCAGCATTCGGAGGGCAGAGCTGAGTCTTTTTCATCTCTCTGTGCCCTGCTGGGGGACACCAAAGAGCCCTTGCCTGCACCCCTTACTTTGTATCTGCCATCCAGACACTGGTGGTCCATTTGGGATGGTGCAGCCTCCCTCTAAAGTTCAGGACACTCCAGGGCCCATTGATGATGCATTCAAGCTCTTTTAAGTTGTTAGGGGCACTATGCATCCTTTACCCTGTTCATGCTCATGTCCAGGGACAACCAGACAGTAGACAAAAGGCCTGAGACAAGGAGGGTGACATGGTGACGGAAGAAACCAGTGGCCCCGTTTAAGAGCCTGAGCCTCTGTAGAGGTGGACAGGCGCTGTGGACAAGGGCTGAGGGTGTGGGCAAAGAGGGTGTGTTGGAACCCAGCTGTTTCAAAAGCCTCCCCACCCATTACTGACAGGAACTCCTCAAACATCCTGAGAAGTGAGGAAAGCAAAAGGGGGAGGCAAAGAGGGAATCGTCCCATTGAAACTGGGAGCAAAACATGAGACTAAAATTCTGACTCGATGATTCTGTAAGCTGGTTCCATTCACTAACCCACGTGTGCTGGTGCAAATGAACAAGGAAACAGAACAGAACAAATCCCCGCTCCTAGAACTTCAGAGCTGGTGGGACCCTCGAGGGCCTTCCAGATCAGTGCTGCGTGTCGCAGGAGAGGACGCAGGTCCTGACTGGGAAGAGGCTGCACTCAGAGCCTTCCAAGGAGCCCTGAATCCCATTTTGTTCACTAATCTCAGGTCCTCTGCGAGAGCTGCGGTGAGCCACCCGCTGGCGTTCAGGAGAGCTGGAACCCTGTCCCACCCTGCCGCCACGTCACCTCCCCACTCGGGGCTGCCAGTTGCTCTGGTGTGACATGGGTGTTGAGTGGAGAGTGCCCAGTGACCACTCCCCCTGGATGGCCATGATCCTCCCCCAGGTTCTGCCCCAGATGGGGAGAGGTGGACAGGGCAAACAGGAATCGGAGAAAAGAGCAGGGGCTGCCTATTCCCAGACGGGGGGACATCAGGCCCTCGTGAGAAGAGGGGGAGGACCGGCAGGAGAAAGAAAGCGTGTCGGAAAACGCACCCGAATCAGAGCCACAACGCACCTGTGTTTCTTCAGTTGCTTCCACGTCTCCTTGTTTGACGCCTCCTTTCCCTTCTTTGAAGGTGCTCTCTGCTCCTTGAGGGGAACCTTCCCATCCCTCCTCCTTCTCCCCTCGCGGATCCTCTGGGTCGTGCTCCGCTTCTGTTCCCTCAGCTCCTCTCGGTGTCTCCTGTGCTCCGCCTGCTTCCTCCTGGGGGACTCCGGCCTTGGGCTGCCCCTGGCCCGATCCTTCTGGCCAGGAGGGACTCCACGCTTGCCTGCTGCACCCTCAGCTTTGGGGGCCTGCTTCCTGGAGGGTCTCCTTCCAAACCTGTCACCTGCAGGGGCAGGAAATGGACAGTGCCCTTGGCTGTGAGAAATCAGGTGTTCAAGGGGCTTCCTAGATCTTGTTGGCTCCAAAGGCCTGTTTTGGAGGCTCTGGCCTGAGATGAGGATTAACGTCTCCTTCTTTTGACCAGCTGGCACTCCTACACACTCTTGCCAATTCTCAGGCAGAGGCCTAGGCACATGCCTTTCTTCTTCTTGGGCGTGCAGTCCCTTGGAGTCAGAGCTAAATCATTTCCTGACACCCGGGGTCAAGGCCATGTCTGGGCCTCTGTTTGTAAGATGGAACCATTGAGACAGGAAGGGCCCAGCTGACTCCATTCTCCAGGGGCTTTCCCCTTCATGTGCCCCTGCCTGGCATGAGGGAAAGAATAGAAAGTGAGAGCAGCAGTCAGCTCAGGTCCTGACCCTCAACACGGCCATGTGGGGCCACAGGTTCTGTCAGGGCCAGAGGAAGAGAGGGGAAATGTGGGCAAGAGCCTTTGTTGTAGTTTCTGAGGGAAGGATTGGGCGAGGCAGAGTAAGCAGGGTTGGCTGCGTTGAATAATTTCAAAAAAGACCCAGAATAGCCTATATAATGTCGAAAGACACTATCCAACATCAAGAATTGCTATCAAGCCACAATAATCAAGACAGCGTGGTATTAGTGAGAGAATAGACAAATACACCAATAGACCAGAAGAGAGACATTTTGAATATGTCACGTAAAACATAATTCATGAAAGAAAAACTTGATCAATTGGAGTTCGTTAAAATTAAAAAGTTCTGCTCTACAAAAGTCACTGTTAAGAAGATGAAAAGACAGCCACAGGCTGGAAGAAAACATTTGCAAAACTCACATTTGACAAAGAATTTGTATCCGAAGTATATAAAGAACTATTAAAACTCAACAATAAGAAAACAAGTGCCCTGGCTGGTGTGGCTCAGTGGATTGAGCGCCAGCCTGTGAACTGAAAGGTTGCTGGTTTGATTCCCAGTCAAGGCACATGCCTGGGTTGCAGGCCAGGCCCCAAAATGGGGACATGCCAGAGGCAACCACTCGATGTATCTCTCACATGTCAGATAGTTCTCTCCCTCTCTTGCTCCCTCCTTTCCCCTCTCTCTAAAAATACATAAAATCTTCAAAGAAAAAAAAAAAAGAAAGCAAGCAACTCAGTTTAGCCCTGGCTGGTGTGGCTCAATGGACTGAGTGCTGGCCTGTGAACCAAAAGGTCGCCAGTTTGATTCCCAGTCAGGGCACCTGCCTAGGTTGCGGGCCAGGTCCCCAGATGGGGGGACATGCCAGAGGCAACCAATCTCTTGCATGTTGATGTTTCTGTGTCTTCCTCCCTTCCCCTCTCTCTTAACACTAAGTAAATACAATAAAAAACCCCACAACAACTCAATTTAAAAATGGGCAACAGATCTGAACAGGTACTTCCCCAAAGAAATACACAGAGGGCAGATAAGCATATACAAAGAAGTGAACATCATGTCATCAGGGAACTGTGAATTCAAACAAGAAAATACTACTACATATTTATTAGCATGACTAAATCTGATACACTAACAGCATCAGTTTCTGATGTGGAGCAAAGAAGCTCTCATTTACTGCTAGCAGGTATGCAAAATGCTGAAGCTATCTCGGACAGTTTGGCAGATTCTCACAAAGCTAAACATGGGTTTACCATGGACTTCAGCGATCACACTGGTAGGTGTTTACACAAATGAATTCAAAAGTTACATCCACATAAAAACCTGCCCACAAATGTTTATATCAGCTTCATTTATAACTGTCAAAAATTGGAGGCAGCCCAGATGCCCTTCAACAGGTGAATAAATAAATAAATGTGGAACATCCAGACAAAAGAATATTATTCAATAAACAGAATGTGCTATTGAGCCATCAAAAGACATGGAGGAAACTTGAGTGTCTATTTCTAAGAGCAAGAATACAATCTGAAAGGACTACAAACTGCCTGATTGCAGGTAGATGACGTCCTGGGAAAGGCAAAACTGCAGACAGTAAAAAGGTCAGTGGTTGCCCGGAGTGGAGCGGGGAGGGGCAGGGGTGGTAGGGGGAGCACAGGGCATTTTTGTTAGGACATGCTAGTCTGTATGATGCTGTGCAGTGGATGCACGACATTACGCATTTGTCAGAACTCGTACAGACAACACAGAGAGTGGCCCTGGACATAAACTGTCTAATGGACTTCGGCTAACAATAGTGTATTTAATATTGGTTCACCAGCTGTAACAAATGGAGCACACTAATGCAAGATGTTAATAATAGAGGGATCTGCGGGGAGGGAGGAGGGAAAGAAAGAAGTCTGTATACGGGCACTCTCTGTATTTTCTGTGCAATTTTTCTGGACACCTGAGACTGTTCAACTCAGGCTGAAGAACGACCACAAGGACAGAGTGAGGATTGAAACCACCTATCCCATGCTCAGCTTGGATGCAGAAAACCCAGACTACACTTCATTGTCTTTGTAAAATGACTGTGCTACGCCCATCTTCACTGGCACGACTTTATTTTTCCAGGAATCTCGTGCCCAGGCACACGGCTCATTGCAGGATTTCCCCACAGATGCATCAACACTTCAGTGAAAAGCATCACAGACATTGTACACCCTAAGGTTTGTTTTTGGAATGCTTTGGCTCACAATCCCGGCCTTGCTGTATTGTGATTCTTACCCAATTCTGACCAAGCCCCCACTTTGAAAGACCTGCCTTAAAACAAATTTTAAATTCTCAATCAATTCTGACCTTACCTTCCCCTCTCTGAGACCTGCCAAAGCTTTGCCTGTAAACAATCAATCAGCTTTGGGTGCAAGCAATAAATCAGCTCTGTCATATCAACAGATTGTGTTCTTGATATTTAGGGAGCCAGCTTTCGACAATAAATTAGAGAAACATATGTTGCGTAATAAATGGCGTCCTAAAGAAAAAAGGCCACGGAAACAGAGAGTGATGGATTATAGTGAGGATGGCCGAGAATGCCTCACAAAGGCATTTCCATATTGAAGGATGAACAGGAATTTGCCAGGAGAAGAAAGGGGTAGAGGAAGAGAGGGGGCGGTGGTCACTAGAGCAGAGGAATTGTGAGCAAGGGAAACAGGGGATCGAGGGACCCCAGTGGAAATGCTGAGGACTCTGATAGGGTGACCCAGGCAGAGCTGGGTCTCAAGTAAGACCGGGGGCTGGGACGGAGGGCGTGCAGAGAATGGTTACCCCGAAAACAGTGCCTGACTGTGGGGAGGAGGGCTGGAATCCGGAGGGGGAGGATGTGGTACTGGAGAATGTTTTGCAGGGTGTGGCAGCATGGATGGGTCGTGCCAGTAGCGCTGAAGAGACTGATGTGGGGCAGGGACACTGGCTCGCGGTCACTGGAGGTCCCTGTGCACATGTGTGTTGTGGCAGCTTGGCTTGTTGTGAAGGCAAGAGGAGGCATGAAGTAGGGGTCCGACTCCAGCACTAAAAATCTCCATGTCTTTGGGACTCAATTTCCAATTGCTGCTATTACTGCAGGGGCTGATGAAATAGCCGGTGTAGATTAGCACACTGAAAGGTATTGAGCCCTGGCTGGTGTGGCTCGGTGGGCTGAGTGCCAGCCTACAAACGGAAAGGTTGTTGGTTTGATTCCCAGTCAGGGACCTGGGCTGCAGGCCAGGTCCCCAGTTGGGGGTGTGAGAGATGCAAATGATCAATGCTTCTTTCACACATCGATGTTTCTCTCCCTCTCTTTCTCCCTCCCTTCCCCTCTCTCTAAAGATAAATAAATAAAAGAACATTGTTTAAAAAAAAAAAGTATTGAGTGCTATTTACGGACTGACGGGCAGGCCCTCACGTGTGTGGGAGGACAGGTTGCCTTTGCCGGTCGTGCCCTAACACCTCTCTTCTCCTTCTCACCTCCTAGGGCAAAAGGGCTTTTGGTAAAGCAACGTGAAGAAGGATTCTTTGAACATAATAATAATTCATCCAAGTTAGAACGCTGGTCAGTAGCAGCCGGTGGCAATGGGCTTGTCTTGTAGATGCTCTACCACGGCTCCGGGAGGCTCGGCGGCCTCTTGGAGGGGAGACGGAGCCAGAAACAAATCCACTCCCTCCAAAGACGTGGGAGCAAGTGACGGTGTGTGACACTGCGGCAGTGACCCCAGGAGAGCCCTGGGACTGAGACAGATTCTCAGAGTGGGCCAGGGATTAAGGAGAAGGGTCTCCTGGGCCTTCATCCAAGATGGGCTCCATATTGCTTGAAAGGAATGGATAAGGAAGTCAATATGTGTTTGACTTTCCTCTTCTGAACTCTGTATATCCTCAATCAGCTGGTAAATGGTTTTCTTTTTGGTAATGAACAGTACCAAGTAGCCTGGGTACAGTTAACTGTACAGATAACAATGGGATTAGGGAATTCATACACTTTTTTCCAAGCTACAATTTCATTTGCAATCACATTTCCCAACAGAACGAAGTTCATGAGGAATACGGGACGTGAGCCTGAATTTGCCCTTCAATCTTCCCCAACCTCTTCTACATAGAAATCAAGACGCTTTAAAAAATTTTTTTCCAATAGTTTTCAATGGACTCTAAACAAGGCATAATTTGGCAACTGGAAAGACAGCTGCCTCATTGGGAAGACGTGAAAGCCCAGCACACACTCCTTACATGTAAGAGGCCTCCTCACGTGTAAGACCCTCGTCAGAGGAGAGAGAAGCTGGGGGCGGGCTCAGCCTCCGACTGTTCAGCAGTCATGTGGCCCAGAGGGAGCGCCGGCCCCCCTTCTCAACTAATAGAATAACAAATTGTAATTATTTTGCGAAAAGACCTTTGCATACTCGGAGATTATTTTTCTCCTTGTAGAATATAAACCGAAAGAATAGGATATCAAGTCCCCTCAGGGACGACTCCAGAGGAGACTTTAATTGGAATCTTTGTGTAACTGGGTTTCGGATCATTTAGCGGATTCCTATTATTTAACTTCACTGTGTCCCTTGACCATTTGGATCCCTGAAGCAAGAAATCTGACCATTTCCTTTGCTTTTCTATGAGAAAGGGAAAATGGCAAGGCGCAGAGGTGTGTGCGTGTGTGGCCCACTGCAGTAGGAAAATGTTTGTGCTCTAGGCAAAACAACTTGCCATTTCAGTCCTTCCTAAGGACCATCCGTGCACAAGCGACCCCACAAGGCCAGCCCATTCAGCTGGGGGGGGGGAGCAGGGGGCTGCAGAAGGGACAGGGACTGGAGGACAACAGGGGACTGGCACGTGGAGAACCAAAAACCCCAGCATCCTGCAGGCAACCATCACCAGTGGGGCTGGCCCTCCTGTCTGCTCCGGCCACACCGAGGCACCTTTCTTGTGCTCGCTGTCATGTCTCTGGAGGGAGGTAAGGACTGGATGGGGAGGTAGGTGGGAGTAAGGAGGAGGGACAGTGACCAAGGGGCAGCTGAAGTGTCGAGATGCCAGCGCTGCCCCACACCTCCTCCCTGCTGCCCAGAGCCCTGGCTCCCCTGCACGGCCCCTGGTCACAGAGCTGCCCCACCAAGGAGCGGGGCCCCAGCAGTGGGGGAGCACTGGGGGACAAGGGGGAGGGGCCCGGCAGAGGAGGCAGATGAGTGGACCTCGGGGTCAGTTCCTCCACAGACTGTGTGCCCGGGTTGGGGCCAGGACAAGTCCCTTCCCCTCAAAGTGGGGTGAGGAGATCTTTTCCAGCCCCAAGTCCATCAGTCCCCAAGATTCTGTCCCCTCACCTAAAAGTGGGGCCCTGCCTGGGGCGGGAGGAGGAGAAAACGGCAGCGTATCCGGAATACGCTTTGTGGTATGAAGTGCAGGACACGCACCATGTGGGTGTGGCCTTTGCCCCCCTAATGGCAGTGGAGGGTCTTCTCCCAGCCTGTGGCGTCCTTGGGCTTTCCCTAGAGCAGGTCAGCCCTTCTGGGCAAAGCCCTCACTGGCTCACAGAGAAGCCGAGGCCATGTTCTGGATGGGAAGGGGGATAAACACCCAGTACTGCTGGGATTTCATGGAGGCTAAGAGTGTGCTGGCGGGGGGAAGGGGTATAAGGGGACTAAGTGGCAATGGGAAAAAATACAATAAAGATTAAACTAAAAATAAAACAAAAAGAGCGTGCCTGCTGGAGCCAGCTGGCCTGTTGCGAGTCCTGGCTCCACCACCTACCAGCCACCTGCAGTGGGCTTCCCTTCCCTCGGGCTGGTAGGGTCCCAGACCCACTCAAATTCACTAACTCTGCCTCCCTAACCTGGGGCTGGTGCAGGGAAGGCCTGCACCAGCCCCAGTGAAACCTCCTGCTTGGCAGGGTTTCTTACCAAGAGAGAGGGAAGGGGAGGGAGGGAAGAAGGAGGATGAAAGAGCTGGTGGCTGGACAGCCAGGCTGAGGGGGCACTGCAGGCTCCCCAGGAACGACTCGCGCCCCCCCACCCCATCTCACCTGTGCCTGGAGAGCCGCTCCTCGACCTCCCTCTTGCTCCACCTCCTGCTGTAAGAGATGGACAGGAATGAATGGCCGACCTCCGGAAAGACCCCCTCCCCGGACCACCTGCACTTCACTATGGGAACCCTTCTCTGGTCTACAGATGCCTTGGCCTGGCTCCTGTTATTTTACTAACGAGCTCCAGAATCCCCAGTCTTGACATTTCTCTCACACCCTGGGAACATCAGGAGGCCAGAACATACCCACAGCCCCCTGCCCCAGACAATCAGAAGCCAGCCAGCCAGACAGACAGAGGAATTGGCTGAGGGGTTTGCTAAGAAGAGACAATTCTAACCAAGACAGCAGGAGACTGAAAGACCTAGCGGTTCTGCCTCTGCCACTCAGTGTTTACACAGGGCTTGTGCACAGCACTTTGCACGTATTTTAAATCCCTCCAACGAACCTGCGAGGACCGGTGGCTGCCTTCATCTCACGGATGAGGGGGGAGAGGCTGGATAACCAGACTGCAGTCGCTCCGTAAGCAGGGGGCAGGGGGCAGGCCCTGGACTCAAACCCGGGTCCCTGTGTCTTGAAATACCCTTTCTGCTTTGTCCCCTCCTGCTGCCCAGGAACCATGGGGGTGGCCCCACAGAGATGGGGACAGACTCACCTGCCTCCCTCAGGCCCTTTGGCTGGTGGCTCATGGTCAGCAGGGCTGGCTCAGAGGGCTTGCTGGTCCACACGCACCTTTAGCCTGGGGTGATTTCCTGTCTGCATGGTGGCCGTCCTCCCTTCCCAAGGGAGGACCCAAGGGCAGCCAGGGCTCCGTGGCTAGATTGAGATTGACTGTGGAGGTAGGAGAAGTGTGGGAGAGAGGCAGGAAGGAGGAGAGGTGCAGAGTGCCCAGCCCTCCAATCCAGCCACACACTCCTCAGCTCTGGTTTCCCTGGAGGGAGGCGGTGTGGCCTCACCTTTCAGGCATCACTTACAACAGAGCAGGGGCCGGAGGGGCCAGCAGCAGCCGCTCATCTCCACTTGCACTCTGCTGGCTGGCCAGGGGAGGTGAGGGGAGCATCCCCACACTTGGGAAAGACCAAGGCCCTTCCCCTCCCCCTTGTTCCTGTTTGGGACAAGGCCCCAGGGAAGTTGGAGGGTGTTTGTGAACATTATCACCTGGGCTCTGTTTACAACACAGATTCCCAGGACTACCTCTGGGCATTGAATCAGGAGGTCTAGGCAGGGCTCTGCACTCTGAATCCTGATGGAAAGGATCCTGAGCAGAGCTGTTCCCTCTCCTACCTCCTGCTTACTGATCGCCAGCTCCGCCCACAGCAGCCCAGCCGGAAACAGGGCAGCTCCGTGGCTTCCAGAGCCACGAGTCGAGTTTCAGAGTCGACCCTCTGCCAGACAGTCCCGGCCCCGGAGTTGGGGGCTCTTGACTGCGGTCCCTGGAGCTCTGAGAGTCGTGTACGGAACTTTTGGGGTCTGTAAACAGGGATGGGGGAAAACATTTTTGTTTTTCCTAGCCTTTAACTGAAATTTAGCATTTCCCTAAGAATGTGTGATTTTTTGTCCCCAGTAGAAGTCACAGATCAGTTCATAGCACATTAAGCCATCAGGGCCATCTCAAAATATACCTTACACTCATCACTGCTTTGAAATTACAATAGTCATAGATGCGCCACTAGAACTTGCTCTTTAATGACTAGGAAGCATGCGTGTCATTACATGACACGTGTCATATAATAGAATGACACCCATATCAGTGGGCGTCCTTGACGCCTATTTCAGGATTGTTGGTCTCCTTCATAATCTTCACATTTTACCTTGTGGATTTAAAGTCAGTGTTCCGAGAAGGGTATCTGGGTCTCTCCAGGATTCTGAGACGCCATAGGATGAAGAACCTGCCCTTAGCCGAGTCTTCACTGCAGACTGACCTGGCCTCGGGCCCTCTGGTGACCTTGGCAGAGGGAAAGAGCAAGAGAACCACCACGTGTGGTGGCCTCTGACATGCACACAGGACACGGAGGCTTTAAATCTTTCTCTTTGTCTCCTCGCTTTTCTCTCTGATCTGATAGTTCCTGCCCCAGGGTTCAAGGACAGCTGGGTGACTCCTTTCCTCTGTCCTCCACGCTGTATGACTGGGACCCAGGGGCGCCTGCAGCCAGCCCCTGCCCCAGCTGGACAGTCCCACAGAAGGGCTCCTGACGGGCAGCAGCAGGCTGCGTGCCCAGAGGAACGAGGGGCAGCGCCTGACAGAGGGTGCTCCCAGCCCTCCTGTCCCCTGAGAGCGAGGACCCGGCAGCTCTTGGCCCTGCCCTGCAGGGTTCTGTCTTGTCAGAGGAGGAAGGCTTCCTCCCTCGCCTGCATCTCTGGAGGATTCCCTCACGTTCCAGCACCAGCCCTCTGCACAGTGGAACGCACCGCTTCTCTGCTTCCCATAGAGGATAAGGAGCAGCCGCAGGGCCGGGGCACTGGGGATCCACCCGTGAGGAAAGCAGGGGACCTTGATGGGTTTCCGCCTTCCAAGGCAGCTAGGTTCAGGCTGCATGGCCTGAAGGGGGAGATGTGGGAATTTAGAAATTTCTTCCCTGTCAAAACAAAGCCTGCGACCGCTGTTGCTATGGGATTCAGAATCACGTTTGGGAGCAAAAACGCCGAACACAAAGTCTTTTGCTTTATTTGTTGCACACCATTTATATCGATCCCCATGCCTGCTGAGGCACATGCACATTCAGGGGAGGGCGGGAAGGTCCCCAAACGGCTCTCTGTCATCTCTGCAGGGCCTGTCCACAGGGTTCCTGGGTGGCAGCCGCAGACGGGGAAGCAGGTGGGCTCTCACAGAACACAGGGACACGCGTTTGAGTCACCTGCTCAAGGAGTGAGAACGAGAACGACACTGGTATTTTAGAAATCTTATCCGTGGTGCACACACGCTGTGCACCGCTCCGTGCGAGGGCCTGCTGGGGGCTCTCTGGGAGACGTCCGTCCTTTCTGCTGGGCACTGGTCAAGCCCTTAACATGGCTTAGTTACTCATCAACAAACACTTGAGGGCTTTGGGCAAACATAACAGTCTCGTTACCTACTCCTTTTTAACAGATGAGGAAACTGAGACTGAGATAAATCAAGGTCTCCACAGTCTCTGGAGACAGCGATCACCCTGTTGGCCGCTTTCACTGCAGGGCCCAGGCTTTTCCTCTACACTCCTCTGACCTCTCAGGAAAAACCCGGATCTCAGCACGGCCTCCCACCTGGGCACCCGGCTTCTGGTCCGGCCCCTTCAGGCCTCTCCCACACGGCCGCCCAGGGAGCCCCTTGACCGCATCCATCTTCTACTGAAAGCCCTTCCTGAGAACCTCAGAATCTCCATGGTGGCTCTGGAGGCCCCCGAGGGCTCCAGGCCTCTTCAGCCCCCTCTGCCCCTCCGTTTCAGTGCGGCCATTCCAACCTGCTGAAGCAGCTCACTCACTTGCTCGGGTGCCATTGTTTTCCTTTGCTTTTGCTTCTCTTGTCCTCTGGGGCACAACTCGGAAGGATGCCGCCTCTGGACGTGGGTGCAGTGGACAGACAATATTCATCCATTCATTTATTTTTTAATCCTCACCTGAGGATATGTTTTTCCTGATGACAGAAAGAGAGAGAAACATGGATGTAAGAGAGAAACGTTGATCAGTTGCCTCCTGTACATGCCTGGACAGGGAATCAAACCCATAAACTTTCGGTGTACAAGATGACACTCCAACCCACTGAGCCACCAGGCCAGGGCCCGCAGAGTCAACATTTAATTTAAAACTATGTCTTGTAAAGATGTTTCTCGAGTTTTCTGGATGCCCAGTAAGGGCAGTCTATGGAAGTGATTTACAACATGAGCTTGGAAATCAGAGTCTAGTGTTGCCTGACCTTATGTATGTTATTTATTCTTCCTCAGCCTCTGTCTCCTCATCTGGAAGATGGGGATAAGAGGATCCCTCTGGGGACCTGTGAGGGATAAATGTCTGAAGGGAGGTAAAGGAGTCCACACAGGCCAGAAAACTCCAGTAAGTGGAAAGCATGTCACGCTGCCCGCCCTTGGGGGGGGGGGGCAGTGCCGGCTGCATGCTTTGGGTACCCCAGGACCTTGTTTACCTCCCCTCATTCCATGTTCCCCATTCATGCCTCTGTGTGCCCGTGGTAGCCACACAAAAGAGGCCCTGTCTCGCCTTTGTCACAGGAAGATCCCAGGCCAGTGCCATGCCAGCCAAGAGCCGATGCGTGCCCGTCAGCAGGGAAGCCCCTGGACACGACCCCAGGCAGGGTGCAGGAACAGCTCTTCCGGAGAAGCTGCGGCCGGGCCGCTGAGCCCATTCAGACTGGCTTTTCTACTCGGAAATGATACTTCTTAAGGCTTTGGGCAACATCCTGCCCAACCAGGGGAGAACTGTCCTCTGCGGGGAACGACCACAGAAGGGAGTGTGGGGTCACCTGCAGTCTCACCTCCTGCTTCTCTCGCTGCTCTGGTCGCGCACCCCTCCTCACTGTGTTGACTCCTCCTTGTCACCCCTTGCCAGGGGACTGCGGGGTCCCACCAACGTGAGTGCCCACCTCCGGGGGGGGGCACTTACTCCCTCTTTAAGCTGCTCCTTCCACTGACACACAGACCGGTTTGGGGGACGATTCGTTCTGGTGCCTCCTTATGAAAGGTTCACAAGCAGAGAAAACTCATCAATGGCAGCACCTGGAGCTCCCATCCCAGCGGCGGCCGTGGGGCATGCACACAGGTGTGGTCGTTTGGACCTGGGGAACCCAAACCAGCCCCCGCCCACCTCCCACGCCTCTGTGACTGGGTGGGCTGCACTCGGCAACTCCAATCTCTCTCCCTCCCCCATGTTCCCTCAAGTACGAAACAGGCGTTGACCCTCCATAACAACAGAGAAAGGGGTGCCCAGCTTGGTCGGTGGGGAGGGATCAGGGGAGACGTCCAGGCAGCAGTGTGCTGAGTTGAGTTTTAAAAGATGAGAAGAGGCCAGAGGAGGGCTTCTTGGGCCGAGGTAACAGCGGGACCCGGGCAAGAAGTCCTCTGTGTGGCCCTCGGTGCTGCTGGTGGGTGAGTCTGAGGTGAGGCCAATGGGCCGGCCGGCCGGGAAGACTGTGGAGGAGTCTTGCAATTGTCTTTTGAGGACACACCAGGCAGCACCTTTGATCCTGGAAGGATACAAATCCTCTTTCAAGGATACAAAACTCAGAAGGATTTTGATCCAGGACAAAACAAGTCTCAAACGAACAGAAGGTTAGAGGCAGGTGGGTCGTACCCTCTGTGGTGCCCCGTCATTGAATCCTGAAGGTTTTGTCACCCTTAAGGACCACCAGCCATGGGATATGCGGAGTCAGAAAACAATACCCAACTACAGCTACCAGTGAGAGAGAACAGCCGTCCTGCCTGCCTGTGGCCGCTGGCGGGTCCAGGGCCGGTGGTGTGGTGGGGGGCAGGGAGGAGCTGTGGAAGATCTTTCCAGGTGGCAGGCTTGGGTATCACAGTGAGACCAAGGCCCCTATTTGTTACATTTTTTCCCTGTGGTGCTGCCCAGCCCACAGGGGATAAAGTGAGCATTTTGACAACTGTCTGATCTGGCTTTACATTCTCTTTGCATTCTTGCTGCCTACTCCAGGTGGAGGTCGGGGGTGGGGGACACACAAGGACACAGACACACCTCTGCCCCTGGGGCA